ATCACCAGATATCTGAAGATGACTATGTTACAAAATCAAGTCTTCAGGTAAAACTTAATGATGTCCTTTCTATTGCATTACTATATTGTTATCAACCAACACTGCCATATGTAGGTTCATGGATCAATTTCAGCTTATTCTTGCCTTTTTCTTAAGAAAAAAAGAGGGTTAAAGAACTGCAAAATGAAAAGAAGCATCATCTACAAATTTTCACCTTGAAATAGGAGAGAAGGATAAGTTCTTGATTTTACTCAGATAATTTTTAGCTTTCAGAACAAAGTGTGTTTTAAGGAGACATATACTATCATAAAACTGTACTTACATTCTAGAAAAGGATAATAAGTAAAATTCCTTAACTTAAAATAAAAGATCACAAAAGGGAAGTATGATATTCAGGTCAATTTCACTGAGTGCTTTATTTTATACATAAGTATGAGGTTTCCAAAATGGAAGCTTGGTTCTGCTTGTTTTTCAAAAATGTATTCATATTTGACATGATCAGTGATGCTGGATTCATACATCTCACTTCAGCTAAATTCAACTATTAGTTTAATATTATAATGTGCATAAATTTATCTTAGCATTTTTCAAACAAAGTGGGTAATGTATCAATAAAATATCCAAGTTTGTATACTGCAACTGGTAAACATTTGAAGTTGACATTATGTATATTATATATTAAGCAAGTTTGGTCATAGAGAAATATTTAGCAAAGATATATGAATTTTTTTCCATTATGCACCAATATGAAATATCAAATATTATGTGAGTCTTTATAAACTTTTAGCTATTAGTGTAACAACGATACAATTCCATCCTCTTAAAATATGCTTATCACGCAAAAACTAATAGCTCAAATCTCCAGAAATATTTCAAACAAGTTTCAGCAGGTATAAAGTATTAAAAAAGTGGAAGCAACAAGATAATTTACAATTATGATCTTTTATGCAAAAGATACTTAACCAATCAAAAATCAATACTTCAATAATTTGACTTCAAGAATTTTCAGCTATGTAAAAACACTTGTACATAATTATTATAATTTTGCAGAGGATACATACATATGCACAAAGTTAGCAAATTATTTATAGCCTTTTTGACAGACATATATGTAAATAAATTTTTGTCATCTGCATACTCAACTTTAATTACAATGCTGCTTAATTAAAATCATAAAAAATTAAAAATTAACTAAATTAATTTATGCATACTATTATTTAAATCAGGATTCATTTACATTATTGTAGAACGAAAAATTTAAAAAGTCATGCTAAAAAGTAAAAATTTTGCCTATAATATATGTATATATATACACACACATATAATATTATCTGGAATCAGTGAAAGATCAATCAGTAAGGCTAAAAGTAAGTCTTCATAAATTAGTTATTAAATTAAAGATGGTAGCAGATAGATGCAGAAAATGCATTTAAAACACTTAATATACTGAAAGTATTTGCTAGAATATTTTCAGCAGGTCAAATTTACAGGCAAAATTTGAAGTCTACATGCACACAATAGAGAAAAATTGCACGATACACATTTTATTGGTTTTAAAATGTAAAAAAAATAATATGACCTAAGTTTGCTATTCATGAAAGCACATTAAAAATACATGACTTTAAATTAAACACATTTAAAATGCATGACCTGACAACCTAATAAAAATTTATCTTTATAATACTACTTTCAAACAAAGTGCATTGATTCTCTTCAGATTTAATTTTCTATTTTCAAGAGAAAAGATCATTAACAAATTCATGATGATATAAGTTTTTGCATTATTTTGTTTTTACTTTTTGTAGTTGCTACTTTTTTTATTAGTTTGAAGTCTAAAGGTTCATATAGGAGATTATAAGAGAATTTGTCTTTTTAAAAATATTTTAACGTATGTATAGAGATATGCATAATTGCATATGTTTGATCAGGAGTACTGAAACTTTTTTTGGTAAGATATTTCAAACTAATTTTTTTTATTTACTTTTAAATATTCAGTTGAATGATAGTTCTCTTAAAAAATGTATATATATATATATATAAAACTACACAAAAACATTTGTTAAAACCTATTTAATGATTGATGAGTTGTGAAAACAAACTTTGATCAGTATGCTTAGATGTTATAGGAAATGCATTATGCACATATAATAGAACAGATTTAAAAATTGTGAGAAAGACTTTTTGTAAGAAAACTAATATCAAGAATGAATATTAAATATTTATGTCCTATGGAAAGATGTATTTTGAATTCGTAAATCTACATCACTCTTATATATACAAAACAGGTTCACAGTTTTCTAGAAATCAATCTCAATACTCCATAAATCGTATAATGCTTGTTTAATGATCTCATCCTAAACATATCAAATTTAGGACAATCTTAAAAATTTTTTTAATTTTCATGAAATCACATTACCTTCCTCCCATAACCAGCCCCAAAATTTGATAATTTTAATGCTGCTTACATAACATGCACTTATTATTACTACTAAAGAACACATTTTACAACAGGCAAAAACCATCATCTTGCATTTCTTTTGGCTTCCGTTTCTGAGCAATTTCTTATATGTGCTCTTATTCAGACTGAACAATAAAAAGAGCCCATAAACTCAGCACAAAATCAATGATGTGTTCTTTTGTAAAACTAGAGAGATCATAAGTTTCATGAAAAAAATTTCAAACAAAAAAATCAATTTACAAGTCAGGCAAATATATAAATTATTCTGACCAGTGAGATTTCAGAATTCTACTTAATATTGAAATTACACCACTGGATAATGTAAAAGACATCAACTGTGAGTTCTCTAAATCAATATACACAAAATGCAAAACTTTCAAATACACTGATTAGGAGTCATCCAATATAGCTAATTTTGAAAGAAAAACATGAAAAAAACTTAAGTAACAAAAGCACTTTCATAATGAAATCACACTAAGAAACTCAGAGCACCTAGATCTCTTGGATCTGCTTATGAAGAGCTGTTTTCATATAGCACTTTTTTTACCTAGATTTTGTGTAATTATATACTTTACTCTCAATTTTTATAACCTCCCATTATAAGATGATACTTGAATTACTTAAGAAAATAAGAAACCAAAATATTTTAGATAACAAGGTAATATGTAAGTGGCAACAAATCTCAGGAGCATAAAAAAGCGCTCAGAACTTCCCAGAAGGTTACACAATTTTCTCAACCATCTATAAAGTTGTTAAAAAAACACAATCACTTTTGTTTTTGAGCTTATTAAGAATTAAAAAAATTATTCATGAATAAATACTGAAATATATATTATGGTGGTCAAAGTATAACGTAGTATCTTCAGCTTTCCAATATATCACACTATTCCTTATCAGTCTTGAAAAGAATAGTTTGATCAATTTAAAACTAAAGATCTCTCACACTCTGACTAGCATTATTTCAGTAACAATTTTCTATGATCATTACATCAGAAGTCGCAACTACATATGCACATCTGCAAAAATACTTTGTTGCACTAAATCCTATAATACATATTTCCAACATTACTTATTTTAAAAGTATTTACAATGCATATTAATAAATATCATAGAAAAATAATCAAATCATAAATAAAATAACTAATTGTCCATTACAGATTATCTCTTTCAAGTATAGTTAATCTGGACTGCAAATTAAGCCAAATTCCTATGTTGTGCAGATATTAGATATCTTAACTGTTGTGTAAGTTCATCAATAGAGCTAATATAATTTTTCATATAACTCTTCTTTTGAAGTGCAGATAATTAGTATTATAAACAACTATATTAAGAATGAAAAACACACTCACAATTTCACAAGAAACAAAATCTATAAAATATAAGCTTATATGAATTCAATCTAAAACTCAAATCGAAATATATTAACCTTTAATGCATACAAAATATTACATTTTAAATGAAAGATCAATAATATTAATGGATGAAATAATGAGAAAAAAACAAAAATCATGTGACATGCAATTTTTAGTATTTCAAAATGTAAAATACTACTATCATAAATGGAGTTTAAAAAAAATAAATTTCCGTACTTACTTATTAACGCAACCACCTTAGTAGAAGACGCCAAATTTACAGAATGTGCCAAGCTCTGGCAACCATGTGCATAAATAACCGTTCTTTCAGCTACCATTCTCATAACAATGCTTCATTCAAGCAATGCCATCAATTTTGTATGCATTCCTTTTTTTTTTTTTTTTTTATATTCCAAGTACCAATTGTTTTTACAGTACAAAGTCTTTAATCCGGAATGATCTATAATCCACACCTCAAAGCTACAAACTTTTTAGCGTTTACGCATGCGCGTTTAATGTATAACGGACAGTATAAGCTAGGCTAAAATTATCTAATTATCTATTTGAGTTAATGTTGCAGATTGCATTGTTCCTTAATCTTCGAATTGGATCCGACTTATTATTTTTTGCAGACTGTTAGAGCAATTTTATAAAAAGTAAGCTTGAATTTTCGATTATGTCAAAAAGAGTTTCCGATTCTGGAGCTACCAAAGGATCTACAAAGCGAAAGCATGTTTTGATCAAACAAAAAGTGGAATTGCTTCAAAAAATGGATAAATGCATGAAGAAAAAGACAGAGAGGTTTAGTGAAAATGAAAAAATTTCGATCGACAAGTTAGTCGGTATTCTCGGCACAGCAATTACAGGACTTGAACAGCGGAACTTTGTAACAAAACAAGAAATTATGTCTGTTTATAGAATTAAAGAGAAAGTATTAGCACATAAAACGAAGCAACTTAAACAACTTACATTGAAAGAAATGTTTAATAAAGTAAACTAAATATTAAGCTTTTTTTTTTTTGTATATTTTGATACCCTTTAGATCATAACTGCTTTTTATTTCATAAATTACGGTTTCATATTTTTAATTTTATAATTTCAAAATGCCATCTTACCAGATTTAAACTGATGATCTATAATCCAGAAAAACCCCTAATCCGGAATCGCTGAAGTCCTGACGAGTCCGGATTAAAGACTTTGTACTGTATAAACAAATCATGATATTTTTTGTCTTAAACTTACGTTTAAAATATGAGCTTGTGGACAGTAAAATGTTGGCAAGAATACAGAATTTTGCTGAAAATTTTCTAAAAGGAACAACAAGGAAATATGTTTCGCTGATAGCCGCAGTTGACGAGGATTGCATGAAGCCGAGTCTCTGCTTTTTTAATGCATTTCATAATACTTATTTGATAATTCAAATTTGAATTTTAAACTGTTAAACTATGGTTTTCTTTTCATATGCTGACAACATTTACTGACTTATGATAAATCTTGATAGTTTGGGAATCTTCCTAAAACAAAGACGTGGAAACCATCAACTTGCACTTGAAAAGTAACTTTTACCTTTTTGTGTCTAAAAAAAATCGCCAAATTGCAACAAGGTGTTTAGTTAATGCGCAAGTACCGAAAAATTAACAATATAAATGAATGAACATTAATACAAATCACTTTCAAACATTTTAACAAAAAAATATGAAAAATTGCATTTCTTGCTTTAAATAAAAAATATTTCATCTTCAATACATCTGAAATCTTTAGCTTTAATTTCTTTACATTCTAGAAATGATTCAGATATACTTTACACTTATGTAAAATTCAAAATCTAGTCAAAAATTTCAGTACAGCAAGACCTCTATTTATCCGAAATTTAACAGGAATGAAATACTCTCAGTAAAATGTTTTGGTATCTGAGAATATTTACAAGGCTAGAAAAGGAGATATTAAGGAAAATTATGGCATACTTAATTAACATTTGCATTCTTAAATATATTTACATCCTTTTTTATAATTACAAGGAAAACTCCATGATAGCACTAATTATTTTTTTACCATTAAATACATTTTTTCTCAAATGGGACAGAAATTTTAACTAAAAATGTTAATTAATTTTAATGTATGTTAACAATTTTGATTCCAATTATTTATTTTTAACTTCAAAGAAAATCTTATTATTAAAAAATATGCTTTTTTGTATGTCACTTCTGCAGAACAAGTAAAATAAGTCTTAGTTAATACACTAATTAAAATTAATCTTCATGGATAATTAAGATCTTACTGTATTTTTTTTTTTCCTTTATGAAAAATAAACTTTTCATATTAACAAATACCTGATCACAAAAGTACATATTATAACCTAACCCTCCAAATTAAACTTCTTGATATACAATATGAGGTGGAAAAGGGGGGGGGAATGAAAATATATACCATGAAAAAAACTGCACATAAAAACCAGTCTGTATGAGGAATCACAAGTCAATTTTAAGTTATCAGGCATCTATAATATTGTAAATCACTGCCTGTCAACAATCCGGAAGATCAACATGCACAATATGGCCTGTAAAAGAAAATAATTAATTGAAAACCTTGACTTAATAAAATAATAATATAAGAAGACATCACTTATCCCCCTTCTAATATAAGTTATCAATCAACATTCATCATTCAGTCAAAAAGACACTTAGAAGTCAGTGTTATGCAGTCATCGAACTAAATATTTTAACAACCAAGCTTCAAATGTAATTATACCTAAAAGGTGATAAAAAAAATATCTGTCTAGAATGGAAAGGCAGGCAGAGAGAACCAAAATAAGGAGATTTATGTAATGGAGAGTGTGTGTGGAAATGGTGTGTTGAGGTGGAATTGGGCACTGTTGAGTGATATATAAAAAGCATTCCGCTGACATAAATCATCATTCCTGATGTCAAAGCATTGCTACTGGAATACAGAGGTCACCAATATGCACTTTACGTATGAGGCTGCAGAAAGAAACAAAGCAGTTACTCAATTATTTTCCATGTATCCTTTCTATGGCTATCCTATTTTAGCCATAGCCCCATAGGTAAAATGTGTGTTGGGGAGTTCTGTGTTTGTGCAGTATTGTATACCACTTGAGATTCTCATGGGTAATGAAGATTTACTCTAGCAGAATTTTTTTACCTACCACTTAATGATGTGAAGTACCACTTCAACACAACATTTCCACAAATGTATTTCACTACAAAATCTGCTTATTTTAGTCTCTTCTTTATTCTTATCGTTTTTGCTAGATATTTTTGAATCACCCTCTGTTAGTATGTATATATCTATATATAACAAAAATGTAAATAAATCAAATGGTTGAAAAGGTAGTGACATATCAATGAGAAATTTTAAAATTGAACTTTTAACTGTAACAAAAGAAACAGACAGCTAAATACGACGAAATCCCTCCCCCAAGCAAGTAAACCACATTCACACACAACAAATGGTAAAAGCAGTTTGTTTCCTGATAGGCTCTGAAAAATCACTGCAAAAAATTAAAACACAGGGAGCGAGAGATTAGGTAAGGAAATATCTGGTTCATTTACTTCTTCATAAGAACAGACATTATTTGGCAGATATCTACCATAAATTTAGTTTATGACCTAGAACAGGTATGTCATTATTTCAAGTGGACCAAATAGTTATCAGAGTACAACAGTGCTAGTCGCATGAAACAATGTCATCTTCATACTTGATGAAGTAGTGAATTAAAAAGTGAGTAAATACATAAAATCCTACCTAATACTTTAAAAAACAAAAGGGAATCTGGATACCAGATGGATATGTATCGTTTCTTCCCCAACACCTGGCATCTTTTTCCTGTAACCAACTTTCAGATATCTGGGGACATTGCTACTCACACAAACAATTTTCAACACAGAAGTCAGATTAATGCCTGTTATCTGGTGGTTAAGGACTTGTTCCTTTTCATAAGTGATAAAAGCTGTTCACACTGGTACATACTACAAAACATGGAAATTACGTATGATGCTAACTTGTGGCTTTTTGGGAAACACATAAGCAAGTATTTGCAAAATTCAAGGATACCCACTTCATTGAATTTTTGCTTTACAGTTGAGTAGCACTGAATTTTTGTTAATTCCCTCTGTAAATGAACTGGAACTTTTTCAGTGTCTGTTGAGTATTTTTTAAAAGACACCACTTCAAAATTCTTTTTAGCAACTGAGCTTGTAATGCATGCTTTCATATCCAATGGAATTCCAGTTTTTATGAACATATTATATGTTTTTTGTTATTTTCTCAGGGCAGGCCACAGAAAAATGAGTCACGGACCACTGACATGGTACACCCAGACACTGGATACTGCCTTACTTTTGTACCTTTTACACATGCTATTTCTGTGTCTAACTTACCTATCCATTTCTTTTCAAATTATATGATTGGCCTCATGCCTTTAACTGTCACTATTTCTTCCATACCATCCATTCCTTTACCAGCTATAGCTGACTTGCCTGAACCAATAATACTGCCTAACATTATATCTACTATACTGACAGAGCAGATATTTTCTTTCCTTCCATCTTCCTAAAGCAATTTCTTTATGCAGGACACCTACATTTAAACTTTATTATAATTATACATTCATATTTATAAACATTATTACATTAAAAGAGCAAGTTGCCTGTCATGAGTTTTTTCATTTCCTCCTTTCTCCAACTCACATTTTTATATATTTCCTTCATATATTTTGTAACCATAATTTTATTCATTTATATGGATTGACATGCTATTACATGTTACATTTGCTAAAAGTTTTGTTAAATGCTGATTAAGAACAGAGTTTACACTATAATAATGAATTTCCTGTATTTTTTAATAATGCACTGTCCATAAATTTTACTTCATATTTCAATTTTTGCATTTTTAAGAATGATTTCAAGCTTTTGTTTCAAACATAACCACAAGCTACAGCATGGAAACCAGAATTATGGTCAAAATACATCTCGTGAACTTCTATTCTCTGAAGTAAAATAATGGAGACAGATCTTCAAATTGTTTTTGGTTTTACTGCCCTTTTTTTTTCATTAATTTCACTGCATTTATGATATAGATATATAGCTTGTTTCTTAGTTGGTTAATGATTTGATTAATCAACTATTTTTTCTTTTGCAGCTCAACAGTTAAATTTCTTGTTGCTCTGTCATTACCTTTTTAATTATTTATTTCACTTACAATTTCATTTTCATATTAATGCATCCCTTATCTTTAATCTGTAATGTAGTATTTCACCTCTAGAGGTCTCAGCAGATATTTCTTGCATTTTTTATATAAATAAAATTACAATTTAATTTGTTATAACTCACTATTTTCTCTTTTTGGTATGCTTAGCTCTCTTTTTTATTGTAAAATACGCTGCGGCACGCAATGAATTGGAAGTTGATCTGTCAGTACTATCCTTATCTTCAGAGCAGATGTTTTTATTTTATTTGGCTTATAATTCCTTACTAAATGTAGTATTTCATCTCGATGTACTCCGTCTTTGATATGATTTAAATTAAATTCCTCGTCATTATAATTCGCTTCTGATAGTGAAGAAAGTGACACAGAGGTTATTGAAAACGAAAAAATGTCGATTGACAAATTAGTCGGTATTTTCGACACAGCAATTATAGGACTTGAACAGCGGAACTTTGTATCTGAACAAGAAATTATGTCCATTTATAGAATTAAAGAGAAAGTATTATCACATAAATCAAAGCAACTTAAACAACTTACATTGAAAGAAATGTTTAATAAAGCAAACAAATAAATATTAAGCTTTTTTTTTTGTAAATTTTGATCATAATTGTTCTTTATTTCATAAATTACGGTTTCATATTTTTAATTTTATGATTTCTGCATGCCATTTTACCAGATTTAAACTGATGATCTATAATCCGGAAAAATCGATAATCCGGAATCGCCGAAGTCCCGACGAGTCCGGATTAACGACTTTTGACTGTAACATATCTTTCTAAAGCACATCATTTCAAAAACAATCGATGTCATATGATTTTCTTAGATAATGCAAGTGATAAACATATATACATAGCAGCAAAAGTGAAACTGAAGTTTCTCATCCAATAGTATTAAAACTGAAACTTATGGCAATACTATGTCCCACTATTCAAAAATTAAAGGAATTTCACAGTTATTAATATAATATCAAGAACATAATCTTGCTCTCTTTACGTTTACTTTCAACAAGGTAAGAACGAATTGGCCATATCTCTTTCTTCTATTGCAAACTGTAATACCATAAATACATGAAATCTAGGTCGTTTAACAGCGACTGCACTTGCACTGCTTTATTATGTTTGTTATTCTACAAATTATGCTTAAATAAAGATTATTAATGAAAGTATCATGAGCGCAATTTCAATGAAAATTTTCTCTATTTTTATGCACCAATCTCCGCATTATTATTATATTCCAGGTTACGATTCGGATGTCCGATTTTAATTAGTGAATTAAAAAAAAATCATTGATTCTTTTAAATGATGGGGAATATGTTGCAAAAACACCACCTTATGAAATTTAAAATATCATCAAGGCAATTCCTCCCTTACTGCTGCAAAAGCAACATTTCATAGTGTAGAAAACCCTGTTTCCATATAATTAATGGAAAAGTTACAGCCTGGGTATAAGCCTCCGTCTAAAAGAGACTTAAGTTATAAATTATTAAATGATACATGTGAAAAACAAATACACTGATGGTAAACGAAATCTCAGCACCAAAAAGGTGCTATATGTGTAGAGACATTAGGTATTTTTGGAAGCAGGCAAGATGAAAAATGAGCAAACGTCTTCGCCGGGAATCGAACCACGGACCTCTAGAATACTGGCCCAGCATGCAGAACCACTACACCACGAAGGCAGAAGAAACACCTTATACACTCCCCCTTTTAAAGGGCAATTGGGGTTTTTAGGGGACCCAATCGCCAAATCCTGGGTGAGAAGAATCATCATCCAACACAGTTTTTTAGTTTGGGTGCCACTGTAGAGACATTAGGTATTTTTGGAAGCAGGCAAGATGAAAAATGAGCAAACGTCTTCGCCGGGAATCGAACCACGGACCTCTGGAATACCGGCCCAACATGCAGAACCACTACACCACGATGGCACGCTAGGAAGGCGGAAGAAACACCTTATATATGTAGAAAATTTGGAAAGCGTGTTTACACATCTGAAAGATGATGGTCATTTAAATTTTATGCTACATGAATAAGTGCATACTAGTAATGCCACTATGAGCATGACAACCACATTTGCTTTAAATGCACAATGTAAACTCGTGTGCTTTATCAAGTATTGGTGAGCAAAATTTGACCCAAAAATGCCATTAAGGAGATGAAAGCAGAAACATCAGAAGCTTACCGAGTTTGAATGAGGCTGTAAAATATGACTAACAAGAACAGGAATTTTCTTTTGCAGTAGTGCAAAAACGATTTGGCAGAAATGTATCCATAGAGCATGTGTTGGCAGCAGTGGTTATAGGCTAGTCCAGTCACACGTATGCCCTCACTTAAAGGGAAGACCACTGTATTGCCACATGCCTATGGTGCATAGCACAGCACATTGAGTAACATAAGAAACTGTAACACTTGAGAGAGAGTTCTGAGTGTAGTGCCTCGTAGTAGCGATATCATTAATTCCAAATCACTGTCATTTGCGACTTCGGTGATATTAAGTCAGAGCTCATTAGACGGTGAAGTGGAGATCTGCTGTGTTCTGTGATGAAAATTGTTTCTGTCTTGGTGCAGTGATGATTTAAGAAAATCTGAATATTCTGTAATCAAATTTCGGAAGAAAATATAAAACAAAAATGTTGCTCCTTATCATGAATAATGCTTCAGTACTGGATAACACAATACTCATTATTAAATTTACAGCTGGCCCTCATAAAGCTATGTAATATGAAAGCCTTTATGATTTTACATGCTAATACACTGACTACCCAATAAGTATTTGGACACCTATGCAAATGATGATATCTGCGGTCCCAAGGTACGCCACGGACTCCGCCGGTACATATCGTGTAGGAAACAGCATCGGCTTTAGTCGCATGCAAGATGTCTCGCAGTTCGGAGCTCTTTGATTTCGAGAAATGTATAATTATCGGGTATCACAAATGTGGCCGATCCTTAAGGGCCATATCTAGCGATCTGAAGTACCAATATCGACAGTGGCCTATGTGATAAGAAGTGGAAGGTGAGCGGTGATTGTCGGAATGTGCCCCGAGTCGGCAGACCAACGAAACTGGGGGTTAGAGACCAACGAGTGCTGTTCAGAGAAATTCGGAAGAACCCCACCCAACCGATAGCCCTCATCCGCGAGGAGTTTCAACAGGCATCCAGAAGTATTGTTTCAATGAATACCATCCGCAAGGAAGCACATTTGCTTGGTTTTCATGGTCGTGCTGCTGTCCATAAGCCTTTGATCACAAAGTCTAACCGTGGTGCTCGGTTAATGTGGTGCAAAGCACATCGAAATTGGACCGTAGATCAGTGGAAACGGGTTCTTTGGAGTGACGAATCAAGGTGTCTACCTGGAGAACGCCTCCTGCCAGAATGCATTGTGCCAACAGTCAAGTTCAGTGGAATTATGGTCTGGGGGTGTTTCTCCTGGTATGGGCTGGGATCCTTGGTCCCCATTCATGGTAAGCTCAACTCCGATGCCTACTGCACTATTTTGAATGACAATGTGCTTCCTACGTTGTGGCAGTTTTACGAGTTGGACCCCTGTTACTTTCAGGACGACAATGCCAGTGTTCATGTTTCGACATTAACCAAGGCTTGGTATGGTGCCAATGGAGTTCATCGAATGGACTGGCCTGCCCAGAATCCAGACCTGAACCCTATCGAGAACCTCTGGGACGAGTTGCATCGCCGAATTCAGGGGTGCACTATCCGTGCAGAATCGGTGAAGAAACTTCTTCCGAGCCGAGTGGAAGAAAATACCACTAGCTGTCATACAAAGACTTGTGGAAAGTATGCCCCGGAGGGTGCACGCTGTAATTACCTCTCGTGGAGGCTCTACCAACTATTGATTTTGAAATAAAGTTCGTTTTTCTTTTCTATCACAGGTGTCCAAATACTTATTGGTAGTCAGTGTATATAAAATTTGGGGTATTTATCTTAGGATAGTGTATATTGCATTACGTGGACACGTTGCTTTGTCTTAAAAAGACAGCTTTAAAAAAATATTGTTTTTATGTAATTATGATGATATTTTTGTAAAATTTTTATTGTCTACCTCATTTTGAAAAAGTTCATACTTGAATGTATATACTGAGCATCAATATTTTAGGAAATAAAGTATGCAACCACTTTTTGTGAAAATTCCCTCCATAAAAAGGTTATTTATAAAAATAGCATGACTAACTATTGATTGAGCAATTAGATACAGAAACATAATTTTTAATAAATTAATAATATAAGATAGGTTTTCTGGCTATGGTAATTTTGGTTGCCTGACACGTTCTAATAAAAAAACAAGAAAAGACAAAGTTTGGTGAATCAAAAAATTCTCATCTAAATCGTAAAAAATGCTGCATATCCCTTCAAAGTAATATCCGTCATTTGCAATACCTTTTGGTACTGAATGAAAAAAGTTCATCACATATTTTGAATGCTGGAAATATCCCCAAATCATTCTTCTTTCAGGGTTTTTTCAAGTGCTGGAACAGAAAGAAGTCTACTGCAGCAAGATCAGCAAGTACATTAAATGACTGAAGGCTAAAACTCCTCTATGGGTCATAAATTGTTTTGCAATGAGGTTCAAATGTAGCTGGGAATTATCACACAGAAGGAGCCCAAAGTTGTTCTAGTAAATTTATTGCACAAGATCCATTGTGTACATCTAAAATAGGCTTCTCTACCAAAAGGGAATCCAGTCAGCCTTTTATTTGCCTGTTAAGTATTTAGTTTTAGTTTATGAAAGTAAAATATATGGTACTTATCTATACTTTCCATATTTTTTCTTGTTTAATTTATAAAACACATTAAACAAAAAATTTACATGTTTTTAGTTTGGGAAAGGATAGATGAGGGGATGATCATCTAGCAATGGTGAAAGGGGCGTATGGGGCAAAAAGGATCGATAACTATAGAATATGTCCAGGCAAGTTTTTTAGTCCTTTCTCAATGATAAATATCTAGCCACATTCTGCCCTCATCATGGAACAGTTTGTAGCTTGTAGAAATGCTGATCGTCATCTATATTCACATGATCTTAGTCCAGAAGACTTCTTTCTGTTCCCTCACCTGAAAGAGGCCTGAGAGAAAAAAGATCTTTAGCCTTTGTCAGACAGGCATCCCAAATATGCATTCCCCACAAACATCCCTCCCAGCTGTGCATCTACCCGTGCATCACTGGAAAATCAACTTAGGGGATGAGTGATGCAAATGTGCATTTTAAAATTAAACATTTTTTAAAGACCCACAGATAGTATCCTGTGTCCATTACTTTTGAACTGAACATAATTTTAGGATCATGAATTTTAATTTGAACACATTATGCCCAAATTTGGTGTCAACTGTTGCAATGGAGGAGGGAAAATGTAACATAAGCAAACAGATTTTAGCTCTTTAATTTGCCACGTACAATAAACATTCATGTGTTCGATAGTCTTCTGAATCCTTTTTTTTCCTACTATGTAGGGCCTTTTAAGTTTACTATGTGGGATTCTGTTATACTTTGCATGCACTGCTTACGGATATATTAGAAAGTGATATTTCTAGCAGCTCTGATATGGATATTTTTCAGAGAACTGAGCTCACTCAGTGACTGTCTTACACTTTTCATGAAAAATTTTATTACTTCTACATAGTCGTAAATAGTCTTGTATTTTTTTAAATTAATTTAAAAATTTATTAATGTATTTTGTCAGTTAAAACTTCAGAATAATTTTAATAGCACTTCTGAAAATTATTTCTGGAAGTAAGCAATTTATTTTTATATATTTTCATGTAAAGTAAAAATTATTAAATGCTAATTTTGAACGTATATGGTAGCTTAAGTAATAATCTAAAATTGTGCCAAAATTATGACATTAGAATGCTCTTTTTTTTTTTTTTTTTTTTTTTTTTGTTTTGTGTGTGTGTGTGTGCGTTTTTTTTTTTTCCTGAAGTTAGTCTTCGTGATCCAAAACTCCCATCTTGTAGGATGACTCCCATTTGTTCTGAGGGTGCGTCTGAAACAAAGGTGCATCATCTCAAAAGAGCTAGATATTCCAAACATCCAAGGTCATGTGATGAGACTTTGTCTAAAAGAGACCTTCATTTGCAGTTTGCAAAAACTGTACAATTGTCAAAAGTGTACTGCAAATATATGACATTACCTCAAAGGAACATAAAACATTTTACCTGGTTTAGGTAAGAATCTTTTGTTTACTAAGCTTTATTGCTATATCTTGTACATCCAGACATTTAGAAAATTTATGTCTAATGGTAGCAGCTTCCATTATGCAAAATGTTTAATAACTATAATTATGAAAAAAAGCTTTTATCTATTAAAAAAAGAATGAACATAAAAAGCTGCTTTTAAATAGGACTATTTCACTAGATATTTATTAGTCTTTAAATATCATGTGATCTACTTGTTTATAGAATAAATTTAAGGTTAGGCATAACATAAGAAATGTACAAATTCTGATTTCAATGGCACCTTTTCATTTCTATATAATATATATATAAAATAATTACACTACACCTTACCTTTGAAAATCACAGGTGGCAGAAGTAAATTTATTTCTCACAAGAAAAGTTGCAATAGCTTCAGCAACCTAACGAATAAATTATAGAAGCCATCATTTAAATCTTACTGCACTGAAGATTAAATAAATTACAGTAACAGATAAACTAGAAGAGTAACACGCTAATGTGACAATCAAAATCGTAAAAACAACCTTGTATTTAGTGTAGGTATAATGAAACACACAATCGATTTCGAGGGCAGCTAAAGGTCATTCCTCATCCTTTATTTTCTTCTTTCTAGGTATTTCTTTCTCCTGATGAGGAATGACCTTTAGCTGCCCTCGAAATCGATTGTGTGTTTCATTATGCCTACGCTAAATACAAGGTTGTTTTTACGATTTTGATTACAGTAACAGATATTAAATTCATAAGTAGAACAACAGGCAATTTAAGTGCTCACAAAAAATCAAAATAACTATTTTAACATACTTACAAAAATGTTTAAAATATAATACCTTAATTAAAAATAGCTAAACAAAAGGATTCAAAATGAGACTATGACAGCTACTGCTTTAATAATTTTTAATGAATAATAGACACATTTCTACATGTGACTTAATAGCAGTTTTATTTACTGGAGAATTCGATGCAGATATAGATTAAATAGTTCCGAAATTGAAGGCTATTACATTTCAGAAAAATTCAGTGTTCAATGATAGACTTATCCTTCAGAGTGAGCAACTTAATGAGGTCCTTAGAAATAATGTCGCTAGACTGATGCTCAAAATTAAAAGAAAATTGTAAAAGCAATCATAACTTGAACAAATTCATTTAAATTCCTTTTGCTGTGATTTGAACATTGAACTGAATATTTGAACATTAACAAAGCTCTAGCACAAGATTTGCAAATATTTCTTAAGAATGAGGACGGTTAATTATCTTGCTAATCAAAGTCATCTAGGGATACCTGCAGTACCTGATGATTATTGCCATTGCTGGTGAGAAGAAATCATTTCAAAATTTCAGGACAGCTGCTTAAGATCCTCTCAACAGCCACTGGCTTTTTGAGCATGGTCTTTGTGTCAGATGATTATCATTTTCCATTTTTGTCTGTTCTACAGGTAGTGCATCTAAGATGATGTCATCTTCATCATCAATGTAAATAATACGACTGAGCACCAGTATTATTCATGAATGAGTTCAGAATCAGTTTAAATAGCAATTCTGACATCTGAAGAAAAATTGGAAAATACTATCTTCCATCACATATCCATGACAGACAGTGTTACTATGGTGATAGCTTACTTGTCTGGGAAGGGATTGCAAGAAATTTCCACATGGAGACTGTACCTGAGAAAGGTTCAGTAACAACATTGGAGTATATATATGATTTTTTTTGGGGGGGGGGTCTTTAAATCAAGTCATTTAGAAATGCTACTGTCCCAGATTTTTTGTTCATTATAACAATACTCAAACTCATCAAGCTACTATGATAACTGAATACCTTTAAACTGAGGTCAGTGTTCAAATGGATTGGATATCAACTTCCTTAATCTCAATCCTACTAGATCACTAAGACATATAGATTAGTGACTCCACTTGTTTGGATATATGGACTATGTACACAGTGAAGAAAAAAAAGGGGGGGAGTTCTATAGCTGCCGTTCTACTGGGACGATCGACGAAATTCAAATTGCATTCTTCATGTCTCAAAAGCATGACTCAGGATATACATTAGATTTACATATAGCACTACTTGAGCATAGGTACTTTGACATGAAATCAAAATTAAATGTAAAAAAATTGGTATGTTATTTCAGAAAAATGGACTTTTTCTGGAATAACATACCAATTTTTTTACATATTTCGATTCTACGACTCGAATTATGCCAGACTGACAAGTTTTGTAAAAATCACATGAATAGTTTTTAAAAAATTAGCTCCTCAATGTTAATTGAATTTGGTATATATTTTTCAATATCTCTTTTTTATGAAACGTTTTCGATTCTTCCTTTCGGATTTCGAACATTAAGTTCATTCCAAATAAAATTTCTTATGATTCCTTTCTTATGATTTATTTTTAAAATTTGTATTTTTAAATAATTTTTATAAACTTTTCAAAAAAATTTTGAATTACAACCTATAAAATTTTTACTATCATCTTAAAGTAGGAGTATTTCTAAGCATACCTGGAAAAAAATTTTTTTACTCAAAATTTTCAAAGATATACATGAATTTACATATTTTCGTGTTTTGAAACTTGGCATCTTTTTTTTTTTTTTTTTTTTTAAAGCGATAATAACATCAAATACGGTTTGAATTTTGTTACAGTGAATTGCCACAGCTATTTTTAACCTTAAATTTCGAATAAATTTCTACGGAGAATTAATTATATGAAATTTCCTCTCTCAATGATGCGTGATAAATATTTACAAATACTATATAAAAATCTATCTTTTATTTAAATTAAAGATAATATTCAAATTTTACTCTTTTTAAAAAAATTTCTTTTTTAAAAAAAAATATTTTGTAAGAGTAAATTTTTACCTTCGCCTGCTACTTTACTTCATTTAAATTGAATTGTCTGAAACTGAGAAAGTTCATTTGATGTTTATTTTCACAATGTTTTTAAACAAACAGGACGTTGACAGTTTGGGTCATGTCCCAGCTTTAAGAAATATATATGCAAATACAAATTTTTACAGTAATCCTCTTAGAAAGAATGTTTTTAATGTTTAAGTAGTAATTTTCTCTTGTGTTGTAGATTATAAAAAAATCTTCTTTAATATAGAAATTATTAGGTTTAAAAAGACTAAATAATATGTTTTTGAATGTTTGCACCCGATATAATAATCGAGCCACTCAGTGATACAGGATAAGCGCTGCTGCAGTGGTTTATTTCCTTCTCATTTAACAAAAATCTTTTAATTCAAATATTTATCCTTTGGACTTTGCTTTAAACTTTATTTATAGTTAAAATGTCTAGAAAATGAAAAGCTATCTTCAGCTAAAATGCATTTGATGCAATGGATCTTTTAAAAAATTTTATAAAAATGCAAAATTTGTGGAAGAGTAACATCGAAAAATCTTAATATTTTTGTGTCAGCACTGAAAATAAATGTAGAAGTAAAGAAGGAAATTATGAGGAAAAAGCAAAAATTCAAAGGGGAATCTACTTCAGAGAAGTTGAGTGTTCAAAGAGAAAACACTTGGACATGCACACCAGCAAATTGCAGCAATTGAGTTAGTACTAACGGAAAAGACAAAACCATATCATTGCGCATTAAATTGAAAAGCGACTGGTTTTCGACTATATGGTTATATAAATTTAAATTACATCATAGAACATCATATTGTATCATAAACGGAACATCCCATGATTTCTCAGTCAAATTATTTGAAGATTCAGGAATTCATCCAGTGACGTTATAAGGTATTATTCCCACCTTCTTAGTGTGCCTTTGTGGTGCAGTGGTCTGCACACACAGTGCGTATTCGAGAGGTCTGTAGTTCGATTCCCAGCTAGGGTATTGCTCATTTTTCATTTCCCCTGCTTCCCCCCAAAAAAGTAATGTCTCTGCAGTGGCGTCCGAACTAAAAGGTGGTGAATGATTCTTCCCCACCAGGATTTTGCAACTGGGTTCTTTAATCCCCAGTCCCCCTTTAATATAAGGTATTTCTCTCGCTTTCTTAGCGTGCCTTTGTGGTGTAGTGGTCTGCATGATCGGCGCGCATTTGAGAGGTCCGTGGTTCGATTCCCGGTAAGGGCATTTCAAGTCTCCTGCTTCCAAAAAACCCTAATGTCTCTGAAACGTATATGGATATCATCTACAGACATTTTCCCTCATGATGAAAGCAGTTTTTCCTTTTATCTCATGTCTTCAAAATGGTTAGCCACTAAAGACTGATAAAGGCTCTGACCAAATACTGATGAAATGGATTGAGTTTGATTGAGTCAAAACAGGGCTATCTGCCTAACAGGAAGGATGCCTTCGTGAAGAAATTTCTAAGGAAAACCAGCTGGCATACACGTTACACATGAGAAAAACTACAAAAATACCTATGCAACCAGTTCATCTGCCGGGATTCGAACCCTGGAGCGAACTACTAGCGTTCAGCGACTTTACCACTCGGCCGTTTGTGGGCCTTTATGAAATGGAAGGCAATTTGAAAGGAATGTCAGAAACACCAAGATGTTTCGAGAAGTTGGATACTTTTTAATATACTTGCAGAATGCCCGAAGAAAAAGAGCAAGCCATTACGAAGAAAAACTAAATTTCTGCATAAAATTTAGTATTTTTTTTTTTTTTTTTTTAATTTAAAGCTTTTTTAATCTTACGACATTTGATTCTTGCAATTTCAAAAATAAAATATTTTTGAAAATTTTACTTTTTCTATATGAATAACATTTTAAGAAACTAAATGTAGGATGATAAAATTGTGTAAAGCAATGAGCACAATGATAAAACTGTTTAAAGCAATGTATGCAAGTCATCCTAACTTAAAATGTTGCTTATACATCTCTCTTATTTATATATCTTTTTTGAATGGAACATTGAAAGACGTGTTAATTGTGCTGTACTGTATTTTCTCTTTTAATATAGGCAGTTCTCAAATGCATCGTAGTCACAAAGTATTCTTCTGAAAGAAATACAATTCAAATAAATAAAATCAAATTCTGGAAAATTTATATTAGTAAATATATTTAAAATGCTCAGTTCGAATGAATAAATAGAAAATTTTAAAACTATTATTTAAAGAGAGAATTCGATAAAAGCAATTAAAATAAAAAACTAAAAATTTAAAAATCACCTAAAATAATAACTAAAAATACAGTACAAAGAAACCTATTTGTAAAAAAAAAAATAAATAAATGATGCACCTTTTATTTAAACTACGCAGTTCAAATGAGTAAATAGAAATTTTTAAAACAGTTATTCGAAAGAAACCATGCAACTTAAACAATCAAAATGAAATTCGAAAAAGAAAAAAATCACTTCAAATAATAATAACAATTATAATTAAAAATATAACATAAAGAACATTATTTGAAAGAAGGAACGATAATGACTTCCCCCTTCCCGCATGATGTAAAAAGGGAAATAAAAATAGGTTGCCACATATTAAGAAGTTCACCAAGTGAACTATTCTTGGCACAAACTGAAAAAAAAGGCGACTCCGTAAATTTTGCACCAAATTTTACAAAATTTAATATTTAGGCATAATTTGAGTCATAGAATTGAAATATGTAAAAAATTGGTATGTTATTTCAGAAAAAATCCTATTTTGTGCCAAAATATTTGTGTTAGAATAGTGATATACATAAATCTAATATATATCCTAAGTCGCGCTTTTGAGATTGAATTTTGTCAATTTGCCCAGTAGAACGGGAGATATAAAATTGTCCTTTTTTTTTTTTTTTTTTTTTTTTTTTTTTTTTGTGCTGTGTACATGTCAATAGTATCATCTGCCTAGATAATCCATACTAAAGTATTGCAAATAGTACATATTTGACCTCATCGTTAGCTTTTTATACTCCAAGTGCAAGAACAACAACATATAAGTGGATCCAGGTTTCCTCTAATATCGTACCTTATATAGTTTTGCGAAGGCAAAATATTTTTACTGTTTTACACATATAATTATTTTTAAATGTAAATAAGTTTTAGTTCTAAAGATAATTTCATTTGTTAAAAAAAATCACATTACGACTTAACAATAATTATTTACTTATAGAAAACCTTTTTGATAACAATGTTCACTTTTAATGTTAATAACAAAACAGTGTATAATTTTACCTTATCTGGATCATCTTCATGAACAGCATGACCACACTGTGGTAAAACTTGCATCTGGAACTTACCTGCAAATATAATAAATCTCATACTGAAGAATTCTTCTGCTTAATGCATTTCAATGGGTTAAAAATGTAACACATTTATATTAAACTTCAAGTTAAGTGGGGGGGGGGAGATTACCGAGAGATAACAATTTAAGATTACTGTTCATTAATTGCTATTTATAATATAAGCTATTCAAGCAAAATATTCAAACGTTTAATTTAATTAGCAAATTAATCTAAAAGTTTTCTTAAATTTCAAACCATGAAAACCTTTTAATTTTTGTAGATATATCTAAATCACTACAGAAAATGCAGCCCCCCAAAAAAGGGGGGAGGGGAAGTAAGAAGAAAAAATAAATCTCATGATTGGCTAAATGTGATTATTTACCCTGCATCTGGCCTATAGTCAAATCTTTGTCAAGTCTATCAACACCTATACAAAGAATAAAATTTTATGTTAGAAGTTTTATATCTGTATATATTAATGAACAAGGTAATACAGGAATAAGAAAATAAACCAATAAATTTTAACAATTCATTTCATATTAAAATGTGCTTTTATTTTTGAAGAAAAAAATTGAACGAGTTAGCACTAGAAGCAGATTTAAAATTTGCATGCAACACTTTGTTTAAATATCAGTTATATTTAACTAAACAAATACATATGAAATGACATAAATGGTTTCAACATCTGAAATTTGCATAGTCACAGGTGAAAGACGATTTAATGAATATGATCTTTATTAATAAATAGGTATAGGCATTCAATAATTTTTTCTCCTTAAATTTCTATTACAGATAATATTTTAAACGTATGCACTATTTTAAGTGATTTCATTAAAATGCTTTCAAAAGAAATAAATCTGGATGTCATATTTACTCTAAAGGTTTAATTAAATATTTCTTTGATTTTTATATGTCATAAAAGCATACTGTTTAGTACGAGAGGAAAAGAAAACTTACTACATACCAGCCAAAAGTAACAGTTTTGGTATAGAAGTAGATAAAAACATATTTGATAGCCCTTCAAACCAACCTAAAAGAGAGCAAAATTGGATTACTAATTTTTTATCAATAATGAAGTATACTGAATTATAAAAGTATGCACAGAGTTATAAAAGTATGCAATTTAATATGAGTTTAGCAAATTTTAAATATATTAATCAAATATATACTTTATTAAACAACATTCTGGTAATGACATAATAAGAGCAGATATCTGAATTCCAATCAGACCAACAAACACTTACTATATGACATTTAAGTCAGGGACAGAAATAAAACTATTTTGAGAGATATTCCCATTTATTATTTGATTAAGGGAATGCAATGCCAAAGTTGCATTTGCACACTTATTAATATTTCATACCTATGTTTCCCCCTCTTTAATTATAGTATTGGGGAAAAAATAAAAGTGTGCTGCATTAAATTTATAAAATAACCAGATGGTAAATTTTATAACTGTTTGCAATGTTAGTGTAATTGTGTCTCTAATGTCATATACAGTGGTGCCTCGCATAAAGAACGGCTCGCACAGCGAACGCTGCACACAACGAACTTCATTTTCATGATTCATACAATGAACTTCGTTTCACACAACGAAGTCGCCCGAGCTTCCATGACCGCTTTTTGCCCGAGCTTCCATGACTACTTCGCCTGAGCTTCCACGATCGCTGCCGATGTATTGCATCCTTCCGCGCAGGCAGTCGTTAGTCACTGCGCTTAACTTAAGCATGTATCGCGGCAATACCTCCTTTTTAGTTAAACTCAATATCGTCCTTTTAAGTTAAAATCAATAATTTTTTTATATCATGGCTTCTAAAAAAAGCAGGAAGGTGATTTCTGTTGAAATGAAACAGGAAATAATTAGGAGTGAATGTGGGGTAAAACAGAGTAACCTCGTCAAAGAGTTTGGCCTCAGCAAGACCACCATTTTGACAAATAAGGATGCAATCAAATCAGCCAAAGTAGCCAAAGGAGTATCAAAACTATTTCATGAAAAACATAGGTCTTCAATCCACGAGGAAATGGAGAGGCTATTAGCGATTTGGATTAAGGACAGGCAGGTGAAAGGTGACGTAACAACCCAAGATATTATCTGTCACAAAGCCAAGAGAATTTATGACGATCTAAAGAAAAACGTCCCTGGAAGTAGCAGCAATCAAGATAATGAAGAAGAATTCAAAGCCAGCAGGGGGTGGTTTTCTAGATTTAAGAAAAGGCGTGGAATCCACAGCGTTACTATGCATGGTGAGGCTGGCAGTGCTGATAAGAAAGAAGCAGAAAAGTTCTCTATTAACTTTAAAAAATGTATTAAGGATGAAGGATACTGCCCACAACAAGTGTTCAATGCCGATGAAACGAGTCTTTTCTGGAAAAGAATGCCGAGCAGAACCTTCATTACAAAAGAGGAGAAGAAATTGCCAGGACACAAAGCCATGAAGGACAGACTTACCCTTATGTTTTCGTCTAATGCCAGCAGAGACCTCAAGATCAAACCTCTATTGGTTTATCACTCTGAAAATCCAAGAATTTTCAAGAAAAATAAAGTTATTAAGTCCAAACTGCCCGTCCATTGGAAGTCCAATCAAAAAGCCTGGGTGACCCAAGTTATCAACGAATGGATTCTTTGCTCCTGCCGTGAAGAAATTCTTGCTGGAAAAAGAACTGCCGCTCAAAGCCCTTCTGATACTTGACAATGCCCCTTCTCACTCAAAAGACCTAGAGGAAATATTGCAGGAAAATTATCCTTTTATTAAGGTGTATTTGCCACCAAACACCACATCCATTCTTCAGCCAATGGATCATCAAGTTATTGCGAACTTTAAAAAACTCTACACTAGAGCCCTCTTTAATAAGATGTTTGAAGAATGTGAGTTTGGTGGAGACAATATGACTGTCCGAAAGTTTTGGGAGGAGAAATTTGATGTCCTTATGGCAATACGACTTATACAGAAGGCCTGGGAAGAAGTGTCACAAAAACTCTCATTTCTGCTTGGAAGATGCTTGGGGACTTAGAAGATGCTTGTGGATTCTGCTTGGAAGATGATTCGTGGACCCAGGAAGAAGCAGTAGTTGATGACACAGAAGTAGTGAAGGATATCATCACAGTGGCCCAAAGGTTAGAATTAGAGGTAGAGGAAGAGGATGTAAAGGAGCTTATTGAGGAAGACGAAGAAGAGCTGACAACTGACGAGCTCCAAGCACTTCTGGTCCAGCAACAGGACAATGCTCAAAGGGAAGCATCATCTGATAACGAGGAGCAACAATCAAACAATCAACCAATCCCAACTGCTGACATCAAGAACATCCTGGTCAAATGGAAAGCAGTTCAGGAGTTTACCAATGCCCACTATCAGGATTCAGCTGAAGCAAACAGGATCAACGCTCTTTACTCCGATACTCTTGTCCGTTATTTCCGGCAGATGTTGGAGAAAAGAGAAAAAAAAAAAATGACTTTGGACAGGTTTTTCATGAAACCATCGGCCCAAAAGCAGAAAATGGATGAAGATGTGCAAGATTCGATAGACTCTACTTAGTCTGTCTTAAAATTAAAAAAATTTGTGTTTTTTTTTTTTAAATTATGTTTTTAGATGTATCTAAATAAAAATAATAACAAAAAATTTATCTTTCTTTATGTCATCTTAGCATATTTTATGCTACAGAACGAATTATTTTTTTTAACATGTATTGTTATGGGAAAACGCGTTTCACATAACGAACTTTTCGCATAACAAACTTGCTCCTGGAACAAATTAAGTTCGTTGTGTGAGGCATTACTGTATTATATATTTTGGTAAAATGTTTTTAGCGAGAAAAAATTTACAAAATTGCAAATTTTCAGACTTTTTTCCCCCCTTTTTGTATTTTTTCTTGGAATAGTTTCAATTTGTCTTCTTTTTTAGAATTTTTTTTTAAGAAAGTAATAAACATGCTGATCATGCAATTATATTTATTGGTTAAGAGGTGGCACTTTTTTACAGGTTTCTTTTCTCAAAATGCCTACAACACCAGTCTGTCTTCAAGCCTATTATGGGTGCATTCTCAGCATCAACAGCAAAAGCCTGTAGCACTTTCCAAAGCAGGGACACACAGTAAACTGCACTTAATTCCTGAAGCTACAAGATTAAAAAAAGTGACCACAAATAGATAAAGCTTTACATTAGTATTATTCTTCCATCCACAGAGAAAGGTAGCAAATAGCTGCTTGAATGCAATAAACAACTCAAGATTTATTTTTCACACATATTTCTTTAACAACTGCAGCCACCTTTTTTTTTCTTTTCTTTGCACATGAGCACTTCTTAGCAATTTTGTTATCAGGAAACACTCTTCTAAATAGAATTGGAGACTAACTGGAAGCATTCAGCTGTACATTATGTTTATGTAAAAAGGCAGAAAATAGATATCTACATTAAAAACTTTTCAGTTTTTCATTTCTAAAAAAAAAGTTTTATTTTTCAATACAAATTTACATTGTTTTTGTGTATGTGTATGCTTGAGAGTTCTGACTAAAATTACAGTGACAAAGAATACACATAGCAAACATATTACATTTTCTTGATGAAATAATACAAGAAAAGTCATCCACGTGCATATTTTGAAAAGTATATTGCTGAGGACTGTTTCTTTGATCATTGGCTGATGTGTGTCAAATGACCTGAATTTGCATTTGATCCTCACAGAAGAATTAAATCACGATATTTTCAAGCACATCTACTACCACATGCATACTGGCAGCATATGAAAAAATTTTTTCTAAAGGTGTAATCAACCTAAAAAGGAAGTTATTTCAGGTACTGGAAATTGTGTTTCAGGCTGAAAGTAACAGAATATTATCCCAAATTAACAGAAATCAGAAGATATTTTAGGAACAAGAGAATGCCAGAAGAAAGATATTGCAAATGGGTTGGTCAGAGTGCAAGTTGGTAGCTGGCAAATCTATAAAATAGGTACATATATAATTTGCACCATTCACTCTCTCAATATATATATCTCAGTATAACAGCATTTAAATATAAAATATATTGCAGATACCTGATAACTTAATCATTCCAAAAAATTGAAAATTCCCTAACATTTTAAGTTAATTTAATTAAAAAATTGATAATTTCATAACATTAAATACTATGCTAAACCCGAGGTTAACTAGCATATTTTAAATAATAAAAGGAAATATACTGCATTTAATAAATATTGTTTTAGATTTTGATCATATTTTTATATATTTTTAAAATTTTGTTCTTGTTTAATTTCCTTTTCCTCCCTTCCGCTTCCAAGAAATCCAAATATCCCAATCTATCATGGCAAAATATTATATTTATTGCAGTTAAAGATAAAATTAATTAGAATGAAATAAACTATGCAACCAAATTTTATTTTATTATGTCAAGGAATAAAAGCACAGAAGAAAACTTCTATATATAAGTGTATTTGATTTCAAACTCAGTTGAAAGATTCAAAAACAATTTTAAAGTAAACAGTATAAAAGTAAATAATTTTCAAAAGCAATTTTAAAGTAAAAGAAACATACCAGTCCAAAATTTTTCAGTCTTTGATAATTCAATTCTCCAAACATATTTTGAAGGAAAAGAAGGCTGCAGAATTAAGTTATTTCTTTTAATATATTAAACAACATAACAAAATTCAAAAGTATAATTTAGAAAATTCTTATAAACTGAAATTAATTTAATAATGTACTTAAAAAAAATCTATAGAAATTAAGTTAGTTTTTTAAAAAAAGCACATTTAAAAAGAGACTACAGTTTAATTAAAAATTAAAAAAAAAGAGTACTATTTTTAAAGGCAATGCATAGAAATTTAATAGTGATCACTACAGATGCTAGATGGAATGATGATATGCATGATTCTGACAATGACACACAATGATACTGCAGCCCTTAAAAGTCTAACTTTTTTACTCTTCACAGCTCAACAGCTGCTGCTAGTATCAGAACAGTTTACATGGGTAATTTCTGAAATGACACATGGAGAAAAGTGTCTTCTAAATTAGAACATCACTCTTATTTATTTAATATTGAAATTGTAAGGCACTGTATTGCAGAAAAGTCCAGAGGTTTACAGAAGCATGTTTAGTTGATGACTAGATATACAGTACAAAGAAACAGTACATGAGCACTCTGAAGTGTTGATGTGAAGATGTACGTGATGAACCTAAGCTCTAACAGTTTGGCAGCCAAGCATTTTGAGTGTACAGATGATGAAATATCTAATTTACTGGCAAAAGATCATCAATAGACTGCTTATGAGCCGTGAACTATCAGTAACATTTTGAAGAAAAGGCTACGCATCTGCAAAATTATGGCATGCTAGCTTCCTCACATGTTGATACAGACTGAAATTTGGCATTATTATGAAGTTCCTAGAATCCATCTGAAACAACATGGACTGTGATGGAAATGAAGTCACTGGCTTGTATTGAACAGAGACATTGTTACACATGAATTGAATGAGTGAAATATCAGTTCAATAAGTGAAAGTGGAATATCAATCCAAAGAGGAGTACTAATATGGATCTCCACATTTTAAACAAATTTATGAGAACTCCATAATCATTACACAGATGCCTGATAATCACAATACTCTGATCTTTACTCATAAAGTGCCCAATAAGCAAATTGTAAATTCTGCACAATATGCACTTCTCTAGCTATACAAAATGTGTGTAGTGTCAAACAAAGAAACTGACATCATTTTCTCACTATTCTATCCATTATATGTATGACAATGCCTGCTGTCAAGTAGCAGGACCACTTCTATGACTTGTTACTCAGATGAAATTGAGAAATACAATACCATACACACTTTTCTCAGCTCTTAGCTCCTAAGCATTATTCATGTCATTTTTAATAATGGTGTTAAAATGAGATTTAACAAATCACTTCGTGCTTTGATGTCATGAATCCTTAAATCTGATATTTCAGTATTCCCAAAGTTCCACTTATTAAATCAACTTTAAACAGTTGGATATAAGTTCTTCAAACTGCTGCAGAAATAACAGTGACAGCAGTAGATATTCATGTGAAAATATCATTGGCTATATCAAAACTCTTAGATCTTAAATGCTAAGAGAAAATACTGGTTTCAGAAAGTCCAGTTTCTCCCACCTCCAGTTCCCAGCAACAGAAAATAGCCTTCAGAGCATGAGATTTTTAGATTTTTGTGGCTTGCTCCTCTCTTGAGAAAAGCACTCCACATGACAACATATTCATCTTAGGTTCTTCATAGTGCTTTACCATAAACAATTAATTAACTACAGAAAACACAAGAATTTAAAAAAAAAAAAAAAAAAAAAAAAAAAAGACTTATCTTCAAACTGCTGCAAAAATAACAGTGACAGCAGTAGATAATTCATGGGAATATATCACTGGCTATAAAAACTTTTACCGCCCAGTGGCACATTGGGAAGCGTGTTGCACAACTATACCACAGGTCCAGGGTTTGATCCCTGGGCTGGGCAAGGTTGATTCACCCTTTCATCCTTTGAATGGGTTGATAAAATGAGTACCAAGTTCACTTGCAGACTAAACACCGGGATCTTGTGACAAGCTGACCACTTGCCCACAGCATATGCTGATGCACTCCGGGGCCCAAGGTGAAGAAAGCAGATTTCAGGGCACTGCAGGCCCACTAGGGCTGTTGCATCACTGAGTTTAGTTTATCAAAGCTCTTAGATCTTAAATTCCAAGAGAAAATACCAATTTCAGAAAGTTAAATAATGTAACAGTAACTTTCGAATTCAATACCCTAAATAAGAAATTCAACTAAATTTAATGATAAATTCCTGGAATTAACAGGAGATTAATTTTGTTTCCATAAAACTATTTCAGTGCAGTTATGTATTTGGGTGATGACAGTATGCTATGGTGAAATGGTGACTCCATGTAAGCATTGGTAACTGACTGGTTTGCAATTTATTTAGGTTGTATTACTCACTGCAAATAGACCTAAAAACATATTTATTACAAATTTACGAGAAGCTCTATTATTAATACATTAACAACAATTAATAATTAATCTAGATGAGAATTGTAAGTTATTGTTCTCATTATGTGAGGATCTTAAGAGCAGTAATAGTCTTTCTGGTTGACAGTTTAAGAGCAATCCGAGTTCTTTCCTTGTTTACAATAATTTGAAGACTGAATTACTCATGCCCTCTTAATTTTTTGGTTGTATTTTGCATTCTCTTGTTCATTATAGTTACAATGCAATGATATCAGAGGAGAAACAGCATCATTGGCTTGTCCTTGACACTGGCTGTGAAGTTATGATTCTTGAAATGTCAAATGGAGCTGTAACTGAATTAATTATGCTTTTGCAATGTCAGAGCCTGTCGTTTCACACCTCATAACAGATCAAACATTGCAACCTTTGGGGGAATACACACATGAATTTCTTATCTATGTGTGGGCTGCTGCACATTTTCTCAGAATTATTCGAAATTGCAGGGGGAGAAAGACTACAACTATTTCCACTGCATTTATAAAAGAATATATATTTTAAAACATGGTTCAACATGTTGCGAAAACTACCTATTTCTATGCTACACCATGGATTTTGGAAGAGTTAACAAACAAACAAACAAACAAACAAACACACACACACACACACAAAAGAAACTTGTTCTTAAAAATTAAAAATGATTTATTTAATAAAATTCATATTTTATACGAAAAAGTACCTTAATATTTTAGATATCTTTCCTTTCTGGAGCTATCAAAATTGAAACTGGAAAGGAACCAAGCCAATGTAAAATTTTAAATTTGGCAGAGAAGCAACTTTAGTTTAGCACAGATTTTTGAATAAAACTATATCATTGCAATTTTGTTTTGGGGGAGGGGGTTCCTGAAGAAAAGGGAACTTTGTCTTTCCCTTTGGTATCAAAAGAATTTTCTTCAAAAACTATGCCAAACTAAAGTATTGGAGTATTTTTACCTAATTTTAAATACTTAAATTCATTTTTTCTCCTTCAATTCAAAAGGGCAGGGCTTTTATTCTTTAATTTTTTTTTTTTTTTGGTTTTAATTAAAGTCTGAAATAACGTAACTTAAATGAAGAGCGTTTAAGAAAAATGCACACCATTAACTAATTCCAATGAATAAGAATGAATTCCCCCAAAGGTTAATAAGAGTAATTTTTTTATGTGAATGATGTGCACAGTCATCTTTTACACAATATAAAATATTTACACGAGGTACCTAAAAATGGATTCCAGGGCTTTCATAGAGACAGTATTTGTCTTTTGATGGATAAGTAAAATGAATCATATCACATATAAGCAATATTTTACACCCTAAAGTTTCAAATTTAAAATTAAGTATATACAGAATTTATTACAATAAGCGCTCAAAGGCCTCTCCTTACAATTTGGTCCTACTCATGGATTAACATTTAAAAACACATGTAACTGAAGAGATGAGACTGCATGAAAACTACTCAAATTTAGCAATGTAAGAATGACAATCTTATATACGAAACAACAACACAAGAATTATGAAATGTTAGAAACTGCAATAAAAGTATTTTTATCAATGCATGATCTTGGTTTTAAAATTGATGCAAAGACAAACAAAAATTGTAGACAGAAAACAGAAATCATCTTTATTGTGATATAAACTCGGAAAAAACGCAGAAAAAAATGAGAATTTTAAAGATTATATGTGAATTATTTACATAAAAAGCTGCTTTCATATTTTTTTTTTTCATCAGAAAACTCCACAAGAGAAGAAAATATTACAAGAAAAATAATTCTAAAAACAATTTTTAGATATTTAATACATGATTAATCATAAAAGAAGTATCGATCTGGAGTAGGAATAAGTCTCTGTCATTTTTTATCAAAAACTGGGCATTTATTGTGAAAGAATGATACATTATGTACCAAAGTACTGTCTATCACTAGCCACTATTTTTTCCCCATCTTTCTGGCAGCATACAGATACCAAGTTGGAAAAATGTTTAATCTTTCGAGATACCGACAAATCAACTTAATTTTTGGTATCTTCATATGATGTGAAGCAGTGCTCAGACAGGCCATGTATCATCAATCGAAACAAGTAGTAATCAGGAAGAGCAATGTGGGGTGAATACAGCAGGAGGGTGCAACTTCTAATTTGACTGCTTCCATGTAGGTTTTGACCGGTGCCGAAACATGTGGATGAATGTTGTAACAATGCAGGAGAATAATTTTGTCATGATGGAATAGCAGTGGGTGTATTTTTCTTTGAGCACTCAGATCTGACTCATTAAGTGTGTCTGACAGAGAGCCCCAGTAATGCTGCCGTTCCATAATACACAATACCCAGTTGGTCTCACAGTATACAAAACATGATTTTATTTTCATGAATATTCAGCTTGGCTGTTGATGTTTAAGCATGAACAGGTTATCCCTATTATAACATTTTTTGAGGTTATTGTGGGTGATCCATTTTCCATTATCAGTGTATATACAATGCAAAAAAACCTTTTGTATATGCCTGGCAAGCAGCATTTAATGTGTAAAAAATCAGCATTCAATATTTCTCAGCTTCAATTCATATGAAATCCGATTTCTGTGCTTTTGAATCATTCCCAATGAGAAATTGAAGAAAATCAATAATAAAAGCAAATCTTGAACTTCAGAAGATTATAAGATAGTAACTAAACTTCCTTCCATATATATACACTGACTGCTGCAGTACTGAAAAGAGTTAATCAAAACAAAACAAGTATTCCATTTATAAAGGTAGCCATTATGCCTATAGAGTCATGACTCATGGTGATCATTTACATTATCTCATGGACCCCTGGCACAGAGAACCTCATACTTGTCTTTATGTATATCTTCAAATGTCATTGCAAATTATTCAACAGCTTATTTTTAAACAAATAACTGAAATCTGTATACTTTTTAATTTGTACACCTTTTTGTAATAATTCTGTATTAAAACTGCGCTACAATGAAAAACGCATCAACTTTTCAGGCATAAAATCTGATGCTTGTAATCTTTCTAAAATGTGCCTAAACATAAAATTGTATGAACATTTTATTAATGCATAAAATGATATATATTATGATTTTATTTATATTTAAAAACTATAGTCATTGTTAAATGCTAAAAACATATCATAATAGGAAAACAAAATATTACTTACAGCAGTGGTTGGTACTTTGAATCCATCGTTCAAATTAACAGGAGAACTATGAGGCTTATGATCATCATCTTCCTCTGCTTCTTCCAAAATGCTATCAGATGGTGGTGCTTGCCGTGGTGCAAGAACATCTATAGTTACCTGATCATTTGAAGAGTGAAGATGTATCTCTTTAGTTGCTGTCTCCCCAGTGACAGAACTATAAATTTACAGGTTTGAATTTATTCATAATAAAAATATGACTTATCTTTTTCAATTAAATATTTGCTTTCAATGAACAGAAAGCAGAAGCACAAATATTAAACATTAGCATAAAATTACCACTATATATGTTCAATGATTATTATAAATGCATAACAGCTTATCACATCTATAAAATAAAACCGTTACAAATATTCTCCTATGTAAAGTGAAATAAAGTAAATTTCAGATTTCACCACGATCAGTACAGATTTAAAACAATCACGTTATGAATTGAATACATACGTAAATAATTTTAGTAAAACTGTATGTAAAACCGTAGTATTTTTTTTTGGTAATATGTATTAGTCTAATGCACTTTTTTGGTAGTTATTATTATTATTATTATTATTTGTATGATTCTGTATAACTGTAACATAAAAATCTAAAAAGGCAATGATTTGCCGGAAAAGTAAGAATACAGGGGCAATTTAACATATAGACTATTTAGCAGGAACTATTTAACTATACAGGTCTATTTAACATATAGACTATCTAAATAGGCATGATATCACCCAGCTGGTTATGGTTTTGGTAAGAAAACCTCAAAACTCTCACAATTTGGTGACAATTTAGCAACATTTTGGTCCGGTAATGGGTATTATAATTGATCCTTTATGTAACTGTAACCGTATCCAGCCCTCGTCTTCCAGTAATTTTGAAAAGTACTCGAGATTCCTTGGTGTCTGGGGGAAACCTATATAAGACTGGACAAGAAAAGATGAAAGAGGCTGACAACTCCATTAAAGTAGAAATTAAAGCAGTTAAAGAAAAGATGGAAAGTGCCATCAAGTCAGGTCAAAGAAAGCTTGAAGTAGGTCAAGAGGAAATAAAAACAGAAAATAAATTTCAATGTAAGAATAATCTTCAGCAGAACAGACATGGTTAAAATCAAAATGAAACTTAAGAAGGAGTTTCTTCTGTCAAAGAACAAACAGAAGAGAAAGTTTCTGCCATCGAACACCATACTGATTTCAGAGTTTTGAAATTTAACTTCTAAGGCGATGGGAATAGAAGTATTTGTAATAAGTATATCAAGGATGTCAGCTCTCTGTATTCGAAGTGGATGGTGCATGCTTTCCATGAGGACATGAAGAGCAACTGGATAGATAGTAATATAATTATGCAATATTAATCCAATTTGTGTTAGTACACCATCCCAGTCCATATGCTTGGCAATTAGATCGCGTGCAATGATTACTTGTGTATTATCACTGAGGAGATTGTTAAGCATGGCAGTATTGAGTCTATTATTGGGCGGATTATACAAAGCACAGAAATGCACATCACCATATTCAGGAATAATCACAGAAACAACACTTTCAAAACCATCATTTCTGCATTTTGAGATAAGGCATGATTGCAGAGTATTCTTGATGTGAATGACAACTCTGCCTCCTCTGCAGCCTAGCCTATCATGGTGATACGTCCGATAATTATAAACACTGAGTCTATCACCTGGTGTGGCAAATGTCTCTGTATCGAAGCCGATGTCAATATTATATTCAAACAAAAATTTGGTATATCCCTCCATTTTATTATGCATGCTCGCAGCATTCCAAAAATTGACTTTGATAAGTCTTGAAGAACTACTGAACATGCTCAGCAGTTATTTTTTTCATCTGACACTTTGGGACAACTCACTAGTTGGTTTTTATATATAGAGATACATATAAACTCCAGTAACTTGCAAGCACTTAAATAAAACAAAAATAATGAAACAAAGCGAATATACAATGAGACTGTTTAGGCCATAAATACCAATTTTACTTCAGAAGTTTTAATATAATTTTTTTTGTGTCAATCATATACTTGACGATTGACATTTAAGATTTTATCAATCAATTGTTATAGAACGACACAACTTAAAAAAAAAAAAAAAAAAAAAAAAAAAAAAAAAAAAAAAAAAGACCTCTAACTGCTACTTTATATTTTATGGGATATTACAAGCTTCAACTATAATGAAAATTTTATTGAAGAAATATAATGAAAATTAGAATTTGAAGGCCCCATAACTTTTCAAGAGGATCAATAGATTTTAAGCACAAATATGCTAGTTTCAAATTTCCATGATTTGCCTGGAGTTCACACCCAGTTACAACAGTGTGGTCAGTTTCCATTAAATATCATGAAATCTGGGGCATTATAAATGACAAATCTATTTAATAAAATAATTCACATATGGAATGCACAAATGTTTAGCAACAATAAGGAATTCTATACCTTTTTATTTAATAAACAATGTAGTTTTCAGAATAACTCAATATAAAGGTAAATTTTGTTTAATGGTGCAGTATACGTTTTCGTATGAAATAAAGGCATTTTCCAAAATTATTATTAAAATTGTGATTTGGGGGGATGAAAGGCAATTACTTACTTCTTTAACTGGCCAGGCATTGACACTTTAGCAGATTCTACATTTCTTACTTGACCACTTCGGACACTAAAATGATAATAAAAATATTAAAAAATAATTAGCCAATGATGTCCTTACCATTTTAATGACACTTTTAAAAGAAATAAATTCCAAACATAATGAATTATGACAAGAAGTTGGAATAAATGAATAAAATGTTATAAAGCTCAATTTTTGTTTGAAAAAATAAAATATCTGAAATGATCTTTTCATTTTTCAATTCAGATTTAACTCAGCACAATCCCTTCAGAATTCTATTTAAGCTACTATATACATGAAAAAATCATTTAGCTTTCACGTCTTTGTTTTACAGTATGCCTACAGTTCAAAGATCCAGAATACTGAATTCTTTATTATTGGAAAAAAAAGTACACATATTTATTGTAATATCTATGAACTCAAATCAGCCATAAACAACATGCATGATGAGACTCCAGGCAAAAGTTCTTCAGCTACAGAAGGTTGTCAGAACAGGACTTCTAAACACTCAGAGCAAATACCGTGTTATAGTATTCTCAACATACCTGAATGTACTTTTTTTTATCTCCCCTCTCCCCAATTTGAACTAATTAAAGAAAATGGGAAAATTCTATGAAGGCTTCCTTTCTAAGACCAATAGACTAATAATATTTTGCTGCTATAAATTATTTACCCTACCACAATAAATATTAAATTGTGAGACTATGGCTTATGAATTTTTTGTTTTTCAGGTCCTGAAATATGTAGTGCCAAACAGACAAGACACATCTTTCGAATATCTTCTTCTGTATAAATTTTTATAAAAATATTCTCAGCTACAAATGCTATTTAGCAAATTTATGCTATATAGCAGGGGTGGCCAAACTTCACTATGATAGGAGCCGCATAGTAAATCTCATGAAACTGGTTTTTCCAAGAGTTCACAAATCCATATTTATATTATTTAAAAAATAAAAAAAAAAAAAAAAACATTTCAAGTAAATTATTGAGAATTTAGGATTTTTGTGTAATTAATATGGTTTCATAAAAATGCGGAACTTTATCCTGCACTGCAATCAGAAACGTGTATTCCAATAAAAAATTTGAAATGTTCCATTTTCGTGTTATTCTTTCAGGTAAAAACAAACCTTTTCTATTGGTTTCCTTTATTCCTCTTTGTTCATAATTATTGTTTGCTTTTATTAGAACTGAACTGATGTCGGAAGAATATGTATAAGTCTTTAGAATATTGGAAAAAGATTTTTCATTTGAGTGAAGGGTTACTCATTTTATATAACAAACAATGTTTTTTCTTAAGCTTTGACTCCTAGTGTTTCAGAAAAAGTAAAATAAATGATACGGGACAGCACACATACCAAAGAAACTGTTACTTGAGAAATAAAACTTAATTTTAGAATTAGCTATTAACGTTTTATTTTTCCCCACAATTAACAAGAGGGCCAACATACTGAGATCCAATCTCACTTCAAAGAATTGAATTAATTCATTGTATGTGAACTGGATTATAAGCTATTCCCCCCCCCTAAGGTTGATACTTTCAAAACCTCTTATTTCTCGAATCTTCAGAAAGACTTGTAAATCTCAGATCTTCAAACTAAATCAAAATTTTGGAATGACTTGCTGTACTGTTGCCGTGTAAATGAAAATTCAGTAAGAAAAGATGATTGGAATTTCAGTGGTATTACAATCTTCCTTTCATTTATGCCAGCATTGAGCACTGCATTGTTTCAGTATAATTTCTAGTGAAGTTTGCCAGAATTTTTAAGTAATCAGTACTCTGGGCACCACTGAAAAATTTCAAAACTATCTGCCAAATTGCCATGATAATTTTGGCCATAGATAACTTACTACTAATAAATATAGTAATTCATGCTGTGATATAACGGCAATTGACAAAATATGAATTAAAATTTTGACCAGAATTGAAATTGTTAATCCTATAAAATCCCTTCTCTCTGTGATCCAAAAAATTTCACCATGCTGAACCACTGGTTATGCAAATGACGGATTTTGCCTAGGAATATCAAAGTATTATTGCCAAAGATGTGAAACGGGAAAAGAAAAAAAAAAAAGTGTTTCAGGTGCAAAGAGTGTAACTGCAGCATTTTACGGTGAGTGATTGCAAAAAATGTGAAGAAAATTGCATAAAACTGAACTAATGGGGAAAAAAAATTTTGAATAACTATAAAATCTACAGATTTCAAATTTTCCTCCAGATTAAAACAGCTCCCATGAGGACAGGATTTTTTTCCATGAAAGAGATTCTTTCTGTAGTTACCCAAGCTATTCAAAGACTAAGTAAAGCTAGCATCCTAGGAGAAATAGCAAATCTTCCAAGACAATGGATCACGATTGCTGTTGTAAAGCAAAATATGTACACAGAAATAAAGTAAGCAGAGACTGTCTGAAATAAAATTAACTGGACGAAAAAACATTCAAAAGCATTGATTTTAAACTGCCCTCGTATAAGTATACTATGTGCGACTCTGATGGCCATTATCTGCCTTAAAAGTAACTTGACTGTGATAATAATTGGCAGAAATAGAATTATTTGCAATTCTGCTTGTTATTCAGAGGGTAAACTTGTGGCGGAAAGCTTGAAATCAATTAAATTGTTACATATATAATATACTTTAAGAAATCAAATTAATAATTAATAAAAAAAAGGGTCATAGCCTTATTTCTTTTTGAAAATGCAATTATATGTCGAAAATTAAGCTCCTTCTTTTATTGATAGCAAGTTAAATTTATTGAAAGCAAGTTTAAGTTATTTAAAGTGTCAAAGAACCGCAAGGTCATGAGCCTCAGTTAAGATGTCAGAGAGTCGCATGTGGCCCGCGAGCTGCAGTTTCGCCAAGCCTGCTATATAGGAAGAGATACTGTCGCTTCAAAGGCAACTCAAAAATAGCATGATAATTTCAAGAATGAAAATTTTGACATTAACATTAGCTAATCCATAACATCTATCTCTCTGAATATTACATTATCATGAACAAAGGATGTAAACACATAAACTACTGGCCATCCAAAGTACTACACTATGAAGAACAAGAAATATAACCACAGCTAGCACCTGAATAATATAAGGTATAAAATAAATAAAATTACATTTTTGCTCAACTTGTAAAATACAAAGAAATCAATATTCTTGTATTTTGCAAGTAAATCAAGTATAATTAGAAATCAGTACTATCACAACTAGCAATAATTGCTGTAACAATGCTTTGGCACTGGAAAAAAAAAAAATCTTTGGATGTATGCTTGGGATACATCATTTCATGCTATTTCCAAATGCTGCCAAAGTCAGTTGCCATAACTACAAGCGATATACATTGAGCCATTCATTCACCAAACATCAATCAGATGTGTTCAACAGATAACATATCAGGAGAACGAACAAGCCAAGGCAGTAATGCTACATGATGCGTAATCAAAAATTGCTGAATGTTACATGCCGCCTGCAGTCATATACTGAACTCTTTATATGTGGCCACATACAAATTTTAAAGAAGAGGAAAAACAACAGATTCTAAAACTTGAAAGATATAATTGAAGCCATTTGTGCATAAGCAATGCACATTAGCAGGGTAAGAAAGTAAATCCCAATGGCACCCAAAAGCATAACTCCCAGATGATACAGCAGTATGGTGATGCATAATGCCAAATAAAGTCAAGTTAATTAAATCATCGCATGTGTAAGCAAGGTACAATCACACTCATATGTCATTTGTTTGTCTGCATCTTACATTTAATGAACCACTACAACCACATATGCCTAAAATGTAAAACCAATGCTAATTACAGGAATGAAGATCTTACAAAGATTTTCATGCTCTGCAGATAGCATCGAATGGTACAAGCTGACAGAGGTGGCTGTACAACAGACCCTGACTCTTAAACTTAGGTTCTTGATATTGCTGTGCAGTCTGTCATTACCAAGTGCACAACATTCCTATCCTCTCATTTGGTGATATGAAGCGACTGGCACAATCATTCCCATCAGCTGGTTCAATCATCCTGTACTTATTGATTACAAATTCACATCATCATACCTTAATTTTAATTTTAACATGAGCACTGATTCCTCAGAAGTATATTCCACAGATTCTGGTACTAGCCTGCTGTTTTCCCATTTTATAATGCTTTTAGGCAAATCCCTAACACATATGATTGCATATGCACTGCAATGGCAATCAAACGTGTAGATGAATTATTTTATGCTTACTTCTGATATAATAAATTACTGTATTATAATGGGGGGATGCATAAATTTATGTACCAATCCAACGTATGAGACTCCCAGGAAAACTCTTTGGTTATGACTTGTCAGCGCCTGTTTTGTAAATATAAAACCTGAATTTTGCTACAATTGTGCAGAATAAGTTTATGCACAATATAAAAATTTTGAAAGTTCAAACTATATCAGGTTGTTCAAAACATGTTGGTCATAAAAAGAAGTATAAAATTAAAAAAGCACAGTTGAGAAACATGGATGACTTCTCAAGTGTTAGATACATTAAACTTTCAAATAAAATTCAACAGCTATTTATATAACTTATCGTAATTAACCTGCTATTTTTTAAACTGTCATGGTACATTAACACATGCACATTCACATATACATAGAACAATCGAAAAATTTAATTTCCTTTGACTCAATGCAAATTTAAAGGAAAAGCAGAAAATATATGTATTTCTTGCACATAAAAGTTATTCATACTTGTTTTCTTTCATTTGTTAGCAGGAACTGAAAGTGAAAATACTTCATTTGTCACAGTTCAGCTAACATACCCCAAAACTAGCAAACATTCAGCTACATGTACATTAAATAAATTCTTGCATTTCTGGTGAGGAAATGAGCTTCTTTTATTTTTCAAAAAAAAGAGTTAAATTATCCTAGTGAACAGAAGCAAAATACCTTTTGTTTACTACATATGTCCACTGTAAAAAGGGCCTTTCTTTAAAATAAAAAACCTAAACAGAAGTTGTACAACTATGCATTCACAGATGCGCTTTATCTTACAATATAAATAATGGTCATTAAGGGAATGGAAACCAGTGAATAAAGAGATGATTTTAAACAAAGAGTTGATATACTTCTAAGATATGCAGCTTAATAACATATTAGCATTCCAACCTAATTATAAGGTAAAGTCAATAAACAGGTTATAAACAATGGCAGAATAACAAAAAACAGCCAATAAGTATTTTCTATAGTTGTTATCAAGTAGCATCAATGTTATACTTTTTATTAATTGTGTGAGTTTACTAACTACTAATAACTATAAAAATTTACTTTTTCAGTATGCTTTTTTTAAATTTAAAATTTAAAAGACACTTCAAATACCTCAATACCTAAAAAGATGAATCTTAGGCAAAATTATTTTATATTATGTAGTTAGATGAATGCTTACCACCACTCAATAGCTGTTTGTAGATTTGCAAATGTGGGAGGACGACTTCTCAAGAAACTTTGCATGCTTTGCAAAGCATCCATTGCTGTACCTACAAGAAAAAATAAAATTAAATAAAAAAAAAAAAAAAAAAATTATTTCAGCTGCAAGCTACAAAATACTCACATAAATATAAAAGAGATAATTTAACTAGAGGAATAAAATAAAACTAAAGTTTCCAACACTACAAATATTTTCTTATAAAATATTTTAAAATATTACCTTCAACGACATCAATTACAACTAATCCTATGGCAGTAGGAATAAGATTTCTATACACTGCATGGACAGCAATTGCTCCTCCCATGCTATAAAATATAAAAACATGTTATTCAACAAAACATGACTATTATGAAAACTGTTTCTTCATTCAGCATCTAAATTATTTTCTAAAGCTGCAAAGCAAATGTAAGTAGACTAAAAGCATTATTCTATAAGGCAAGGAAAATGCTTTAAAATATTTATGCAGAAAGTTTTAAAACATGTCTTCACAAAAGCAAATTTTTACATTGTTTAAATACTAATAACCAAATAAAATACTTTCAAATAACATTTAAAATTTCGTTTTTAACAATGACATTAGTAAAATTACAGAAAAATCACAGCTATAAAAAAAGTGATGGAATCCAATAAACCTACAGAGAGATAATCAAGAATTTAGAAGCTTATGAATTTCTGCACTATACATATATAACTCAGTTAAATTATTTATTTTAATTACTATGGCTCCAGATAGTTACAGATTTTTAATAACATGTAAAAGATATACTTTTTCAATATTTGTTCAACACAAAGCACTTTAATATTTAATCCTTAAGCAAAAAAAGAAATATAAAACTTTACTTTTATTTTTATACAATAAAAAAAAATCCAGTTAGCATATTAGTCATCCAGTGAGAAAATGAATAACAGATAAAAACCTCAGGACTTTTAAACAAATTAGGGGGATATTCTTCTTTTTCAATATATTATTATTTAATTGCTGCAAAAATAAAAACATTAAGCAATTTCAGAGTACTTTAGCAAAATTAATATACATATTAAAAAGAAAAAAACATTCTACTTGATGCTTTTAGAATAACTTTTATTCAGTGAGCTTTCTTCAGTTGAAACTTTCCATTAATCTAACACAGAATTAGAGCACATAATTTTCAAATACAAAATATATTGGAGTAATACCCAGCATTAATAGCTCTAAAAATTTTCGGGATAATCTTCCTGCATCATCATTCCTCCAACTTTGACATCACAAACAAAAAATATTGCTTTTCTTGTGTTTTATGGAGGATATTATACCTTTTTGTCGCCCAGACGGTACAGTGGTTAGGGAAGCCTACTGTGGTACTGAAGAGCCCGGGTTTGAATCCTGCAGAAGACATATATAGTACTTGTGCGGCATGGGAGTACTCTAAATATGCGGCGAACCCAAAGTCCTCTTATACGGTTTGATGGAAGCAGAGAGGGATGGGAGATCTCTTGACCACCCTCAGGGCGCACTCCCTCAAAATTGGGGTTTAAAACAGCTCTCTGGAGCAGGCTCTGGCAACCATTCTTCCATGTTATATGGACTCAATAACAACAACATTATACCTTTTTCATTACATGTGCTATTCACAATCAAACTCCACTGAGTACAATTATTTATAGTAATTGGTTATGCGCGGATAGTCTGTTTCAGGGCTTACTACAGATACATGAAAGTGTAGATAATAGAAATACTATATAAAACAGGTTATTCATATAATGCACATAATTATGTTTAATTGGTAAATTCTGAATAATAAGACATAACTAAGATTATATAATAAAATATTCTGCACATCACAGTACCATGTATATCATATTACTGAATTAAATAAAAATATATTGTACACCAGAGGTAACATGATACCCTACACATGAAAGCAAAGGATTTTGATACTTTACCTTAACTTTCAAGAGATGACTGAAAAATGAAGAAACAGCAAAACATATTGTTTCAAGTGATGGCAACAGCATAAATTATTTGCTTTCCTAATAAAAATAGCACAACAAAACCTTCAAGTAGATACTGTGCACTTGTAGTATCGCTAGTCTTATATTTTGAGGTCATTATTGCGAGTAACAAAATAAAAAGCCAGACATACTACAATAACATACTATTATTGAGAATATGGTGAATGCTAGAACAGGAATGGACGAAACTGTAAAAAAAGGGGAAAAAATAGGAAACAATTATAAATCAAATACTCTTTGACAACTAATAACTTTCTCCCATCAACATATTTATAAAACATCAAGCTGGGAATGTGGGCTTCGTTGATGGGTTCTCTGTAATCTCAGCATACACAATAGGTTCTACAGTGAAAGTTTCCATTACCATTATTTAGTTACACCAGCCTTAGATGGCTAGGCAGATGTGTGAAAAGACAGTATTGAGCATACCTGAACTATTATATTTTGGCTACATTATGGACCAATGTTATTTTGCTTGCATTTTTCAATTTTTGAAACTGATGTCAACATTTCCTTTCTTCTGTCTTAAACTGCAGATAAATGAACCCATGCTTACTAAATCAACAGATATGCAAGGATGTGATTGTAAATGATATTAAATACTAGAATAGTGCTGCAGAGATGTTTGCATATAGAATATGCAAATATGAGCAAATCATAAAAGGAAATATGTGACATTATACACGTACCTTAATTGCACATCTGAAGGAAGTTAGATGCTATTAATTGTCTGAAATATATAATTTAATTGAAGGCTAGAAGTGGTTATGGATCAGTAGATTCAAGTAGCTCAAACACAAGTTGAACCAATAAGCAGAAAACTCACCAAAATATGATTTCCAGAGCCTGGAATTACTACTTTTTAAGGATGGGAACAGTTTCTCATCTTTTCACACTCAGCTCTGATTAACCCTTTTAATATAATAAAATTTATTACACTATCTGAAAGTATTCTGCATTATTTTTTCCCTCTGAAAATCCCTTTGTGCTTTCACACTTGTACTGATGTAGAATTCTGAAATATAGTCTGCTTATTGCACACATTTTAGTACTTCTCGAGCCCAATATTTGAAGAAATCTCTCCCAGTATTCTATAAATATATATTGCATAACTACATTTTACATAGGAGAAGAATGCTTAGAATGAATATCACTGGAAATATATTCAAATACACCAGATGCCATAAAATATAATAAATATATAAAATATAATAAGCAGCATGTTAAATGAATATACTGGCATTTTTATATCACTGAATCTACACAAACTCATCTAATACTGAAAACTGAAATCACTGATATATAAAAAGTAAACTATATAATTAATATATTGGAGCATATAAGTTTTCTCTTCTTTCAGTTTACACAGATTTTTATTATAATTACTTCATCGCATTTTATTTATTTACTTTCTGGATCTTTTCAATTTCTTCAAAAGACCAATCATATCGATTTCTTTAAAAGATAATAGGCTCTTCATAATGTGACTGAAGAAAGATGAGTTCAAATGCAAAGTATTACATTTACTTTCTACCCCTTTTTAAAATCAACTCAATTTAAAAGCCAGCCTTGTTTATGGCTGAACTCAATATTTTTGATATTTGCATGCTCTTGTTTCTCTCAAAAATCATCACAATATCTGGAAATATTTCACTCATCCTTCCATTTTATTTTTAAGAATGATTAATTAAAACCATCAAATTTGGCCTTGTCCCAGAGTCGTAGCTAGGGTTTACAGCACCCAGGGACAACTGAAGATTTCGCACCATCTACTGCTTGCCAAGGATGGAAAACATTTAATTCTAAAATGTCATAACATCAGTTTGGCACCCCTTGGATTCTGTGCCCGGGGACAGATGCCCCCCTCTAGCTACGCCCCTGCCTTGTCCCATTATTTTGACACATTCCCTACAAAATATAACTCTTTCCCCATCTCCTTCCAGTAAAAGAAGAGCAGCATACTTGGGTTTAATATTCCAAAGATAAAAAATCTGAGAAAAAGTAACAAATTGCATAATGATCAAAAATTTGAATTAAGAGCAAATGACTTCAAATTTTATAAGATTATGACCAGTTTTTTTATAATTATTATTTACATTAATCATAAAGAACAAGCACAAAAGTTCAAGCCATATATGAAAATTAACATATCACTTAAAAGTATGAGACCAGAATTTCAAAAGGCTTGATGGTAACAAAATTTTAAATTATTACATAAGTTATCCTAAAACAGTACATAGTACTATCTTACCTATGTCCAATCAGCACAACAGAAGGCTGCTCTTCATCTCCGTATAATGTGTTGAATACTTCCCCGACATCACTGAAAAATTAAACAATACAATAAAAATAAAATAACACTAATTATTAGCGAACTACAAGAACATAAATTTGAAGAATATAATTCAGCTCTTACCTGGATAACCTCTCAGCTGAAAGGTCATCATCATCTGCAGAATGAGTTTCTCCTACAAATAGGACAAAGTTGATTTTCAAGTTAGCCATGTTAAAAATTATGAAGTTAAATGCTTAAATTACCAAATTAAACTAATTATTAAGAGATTTTGATATATTTATTTAACAAAATAATTTTGAATTTAAAGCTTTTACCATGCCCTCTAAAATCCAGTGCAGCTACTTGACATTCTACAAGCTGGCTAATATTTGCCTACAAAGGAAGAAAATAAAATGTAGAACACATTAAATTTTTTATCCATATAAAGAGTTTTGCAGATTTAAAGAATTTAAGAATGATGAAAGACTAAAAGCGCAAAATGTATTTCAATTAAATGAAAAGAACTAACCGTCAATAAAGACCATGAAAGTCCACTATAGCCTCCCCCATGAAGTAACAGAAGAAGTGGGCCAGAGCTGCCTTTCAGATATACCCTAAAAGTCTGGTAGTAAAGAAGTGAAGGAAAAATATTCCAGAGCATTTGCATAATTAAAAATACATTTAGATATTGCACATTAGCAAAAATAATTTCAATTAAAATAACCTTGTATTTTAGAAAGAAAAAAAAGTACATCATTCAAATTAAAAAAGATAGAACTTCACGATTTTATATGTTAAGTTGTTCAAGCTACCATATATACCATATAGCTTCTCAAATGATCTGGTTTTAAAATTAGTTTATTTTGATATTTTGCTTTAATGGATATAATAGCTCAAAAAGATACTTCATACAAATCTTCATACAAATATATATATTGGAAGTTTTTTTTTTTTTTTTTTGTTTGTTTGTTCTCTCCGACTGTCAATTCATGTTGACATTAATAATTTCTTTAATAACCACTATAAAATACTTCAGTAAATTAATCAGGTACATAAAAATATTACAAAAATACTTTATGTTTTATATATTCAGATGATTCTTTGTAATAAAATATCTACAATAAATTAAAAATTTATCTGCCGTTTAGAGACAAACAGTGCAGTCAAATAAATCTCCCTGTGAATCTTTAGAAATCTCTTAAAAAAAGTATGAAAATACAAACTGATTAGCTCTTTGATACAACATTTATCAAATTATTTCAGTACATAAATAATATTCTTTTAGTACTGCTTGGGATAAACAATTAGAATTCTAGAAAAATAACAATCAAACTGATATTTTTAATTGGTTCCAATTACTTCAAACTTCAGATGAAAAGTCCAGGTAACTTTCTTTCTTAGAATGAAGACATTCAGTGTAATATAACTGGGAAGATGCAACAGCTGGAGAAAGCTTTCTTAACAAGAAGAAGTGGACAGGATACAGAATTTCACCACTTGTTTAACTGGTACACTGCAATTGTAGTAATTGTACAACTTCACCTTAATTTTGCTGGACAGCACTCCTCCTATGGGCTCTTAATCCTCTTTGCCAACCAATACAGCACTCAAGAGCACTTCCTTCAGTATATCAGTATTTTAAATACTCCAGGCTATATGTCATATATAGTATCTGTGCATAGTGTAAATATGCAGATACTATATATCAACATCTTTCAGGATTCGAATATGGTACCATCAGTATGGCAGGTAGCATTGCTAACCTTATTTTAAAATTATTTGGGAAATTCTTAAAAAGCATTCAGAAATACATAAAAAGACTATGATTTTTTTCAAGCTAATTGCATAAAAATCTAACTGAACACAATTGATTAGAACAAATTCTTTAAAAAGCATTATTTGAGAAACTTACATTTTTAATCAAAATAATCCAAGACACAAATATCTTAGAAAATTTCATTAATAGTGTCAGAAACAAAAAGCAAAGGAATACATCTTGATAATTTCAGTTTGAAGAAAGTCAAAATAAAAATCAGTATTTGGAAATAACTCTAATACCAAAACTCAGATAAATTTTATTGTAACAGATCTTTGTCAATTTTTAATTGAAAGAATTTAAGAAAACTAGTAAAAATATACAGACAATTATACGGAAAGCAGCATGTTGATTTAAAATTAAACAGAATTCAAATTTAGACTGACACTGATTTCACAGAAAAGCTATTAAATTAGACGAAGACTGGCTCAAGAACTCTACTTTTTCAAGGACACAAAAATACTATGCAGGTAAAAATACATAAGAAAAGTTAATTCAAAGTGATACAAATGCAATTAGAGATTTCTTGGTTTCTTCTTGGAATGCATGATTGCATGTTAATTATTAGACACTGGAGGATTTTTCCATTTATTAAGATACCCCATATTACACAATGCAAAAATAAATGTCTGTCTCTTTTCTCCTTGTTTGTATATTGATCTATTTTCAGTCACAAATGATACAGCATGAATATGAACCTAATGATTTAGCCATAAACAGCCTCTGTGTTACAAAAGACGGAATGCAACATCCTTCGGCACCTAAGCACTTAAAGCGCAATCATGTATTTTATGATGAAAAGTACACATTTCAGTGCCTTCTATTAATGCTTAAATTTGTTTAATGAAATATAAACATTCAACATATTATATATGGTAACACCCCACTTAATTTAGCTTTATTTATTCAAAATGGTGATGAAAAATGAGAGTAATCAACGAGTCCAAAAATCCCCCACCTTTTTTTTTTTTCTCTGTCCAGTACTTTAGAGAAAATTACACACTTTACAATGAAATGAAATGTGTAAGCATATTTAATGATATGTTTTAATGAAAACATAAGTAAAATTTTAAATTAAAGTTGCTTAGAGGTTATTAGTTTCAATCCATTAGAATGACTTATCGTTTGATATCTTATATAAATTTGAACTTCATATAAAGTAATAATGATGAGCTGAAATTATATAAAATAAATGATAATGATTTTTCTGTTTCACTTTAAATATTTAATCATTAACAGTTAAACAAGTTTTTGATTTAGTTTGATTAGGATTTTAAAAATATACATGATAGCATAAGTATTCCAGAATACAGCACCCTTTCTATTGCTTTAAATATTCTACATCAAGATGGTGTTTCTTGATACTGTTGAAAATTGAAAGTTAACAGTCAAAATTAATTTTTTAAATGTATTTCTAAAATTTCACAGCTAATTTGGTGCCCTTCTTAGCCATTGACATGAGGCAACTGATTGCCCCACACTTGTCCCAGCTCTGCTGATCACTCAAACTGTTTAGTCCCAGCTCTCTGAAACTGTTTATTTTTATCTTGGAACTAAACACCTGTCAAATTAAGACAGCTTTTTTGTCTAATTTTAAATTTTATATCAGCATGTTTTCCTTCTAATTTGATTGCTACCGTATTAAGTATTTATTTCTACCTTTAATTGTCAAAAGCCATTATGGGTGATCCAAATAAAAGATTTCTATAATAAGACTCCATTCAAATAACACAGATAAATAGGATTTTAGTATTAATGTAATACATAATGTACATAGTAGTATTTAATATAGAACATAATGCATATATTTATTACATACATAATGTAGTATTTTAAATACAGTTTGTGATAACTGACACATATCACACAATCTCTCTGAAACTCTAATCTACTTCAAAATAAATAATTTATCATAACAGTGATAAACAAATAACAGTGATAGTTAAAGAATAATCATATTAAAATATTAAACGTCACCTATACTCCTTTAATATTCTTATGACTTTTACCTCTATATTATGAGCAAACAGTTGCAATCTATAAGAACAACAGATCAGAAGAAAAGACTAAAATGGAATTTTTCACATTTTAGAAAGATAGCAAACAAAGTACAAATTATAGAAATATATGTGCAAGTGCAAATATAAATAATGCTGATGCAGATTACTTTAGCAGGGTTCGTACACATTTCTGCACAAGGAAATTAAGTACTTTTAAGGACTTTTAAGGACCATTAATGAAAAAAATTAAGGACCTATGAGCAAACAGGAACTGAATAAATTCAATTAAAAATATTATATCTATGCCTGAACGTGAGTAGCTAATCTATGCCTGAACGTAGTAGTGAACGTGAAGTAAACATAACTTCATTAACATAATTATTAATATTTTGAGAATAAAATTAATTTTATGAAATTTATCAAGTAGCATTAAATATTTTACACTCATTAGGCAAGGGTATAAACTTATGAAGTCATTCTTTTGTATAAAAAGGAAAAAATTAAAGTAATTAATGATTTTTGAAATAAAATAAATTAACATTATTTGCACAAATTTTTGAACTGTTAACCTTTTATTATAAATCCACATGAACCACTGTTACCAGCAGGCAATTTTCATGTGACATATCAAATATCTTCCAAAATGTTGCATTTCAATATGAAAAGAGTTCCTCTCCCCCCCTTAGAAAAATAACTAGAAAAGGATATAAACAACAATGATGCATCTGTTGGGCTGCTTAAGGGAATAAATTTAACATTAAAATTTAAGTTATTTCAAAATAAATGTTTTATTATTTCTGGATTAAAATGCATGTTAATAAAATAAATTCCTTCAAAAAATCCATAGAAATGGGAAAATTATTTCATTTACTAATATATTTGACTGAATTTTTTCTTTTCAAAGTGTAAATATCTATACATATTTACATGTTACGAAGAAGGCTATTATAGACATACAAATGAGACAAAATATATATATAATGAAAATGTTTACACTGGTTAGTAATATAGCAGGGTCATTTATGAATAAATAGAAATATATTATTATGAAATACGTAAAAATCAGATTCTTCTACCCAGTTCTTTTCCCCACCATGGAAGAAATTTGCAAACTCTACATAAAACACACAATTTCTAAAACATTAGTTGATCCTGATGATGTTTGCAATGAATTAAATCTTGTGCAATAGGGGAAAAAAGGGGGCTGTTTCTCAACTTTTACATGAACTATGCAATATAGTTGAGATTAAAGTACAGCAAGATTAAATTTTCTGTTCTTTTAAATTAATACATGCAAAATTACAGAACAGGTTATGGATGCAATAGAAAAAACAATATTCTATTCTATTTTGTTATACTGTTCTTTTATGATGATGTAGAATAAGCTTTGTAATTTTTCTTGGTATTTTCTGAACCCCCTGAAAAGTATTCATGATGCAATCCACAATGCAGCCAAAACAGGCAATCCATGACTTTGACAAAATACATTTATATGGCAACCCAGGTATACATGCTGCAGATGAGTGTGGGTTTCCACCTTCAAATTTGACAACTAATTTTCAAATTAGTGTTTATTTTTGCATTGAGTATACACATATTTATTTTTCCTCTAGGATCATGAGACAATGGAGTTGCCAACTGATGAAAAAGAAAACAGTACACTACTTCAGATATATGGCATTCTGTCCAATAGTACAGAATATGAATTTTTTGCATTCTGAAAAAATTCATACATATTCCATGAAGTTGTACTTCTTAAATGATCAAATTTTATGGATTAAACTTTGTGCAATTCTCTGGGTTTTT